AATTAATAAAACTAGTAAATTCTTAAACATATAGATGTTAAAATAAAGAGATTTAAAAAAAATAAAATGATAAACTTTAGAGCAGCGCAAACAGCTGTTTGAAAATTTTTGATAAAATAAATTCAAAAAAAAAGTACTGTAGTGAGGGTAAAAAATTAATAGAAATTATGAAGTCACTACTAGCTTTTTGGGGGATGCCACCATTTTTAATATTTTGAATACTCGTACACTCAGGTTGTTAATAATATATATTTTAGAAATGCTTAATGTAAAAATGGTTTCCACCTGTTTGGATGCTTAAATTTAAAATATTAATTTCATAAAATAAATATTAAACTCAATGAATTCAAATTTAGGAAATTCAAAAATTTTGGAAGAGGACTACAATCTGCAACATATTCAAAAATATAATTTGCTAATCCAAATCTGAAGCTGCCATAATACATAAATTCAGAAATTACACAATTGTAGTTGTAAATTCTATATTTTATATGCATTTATAAAAATGTCTTACATAAGTCAATAAGCAAAAAAATTATGAATTGTAAGTGTGTAACTCGTAGCAGGATAATAACTTTTAATACTAAAAAATAATAATTTTTAATACATTTTTGTTTAATTATATTTTCATACATAATAACCCCACAAAATATTTAATAGGATAACATTAATTAATTTAATATTTATTTAGAATTTATTTATTTTATAATTTTTTATAGAATTTTTCTTAAAGTCTTTTTCCCCACATTTTCTTCAAATGGCCTTAAACATTTCCTTAGGCCATGCTAATTTACCAACTTACGTCCGCAATAGTTGAGCTGTTAGCCGTACCCACGCCTGCATACGTAAGGCCAGGGTACGTGCCCTGGTCCGACTAAAGACAAAGCAAAGCTAATTACGATCGCCTCTCGGCAGGGAGTGTCAAGCCCTCCGATTGTATTTCTGACATGAAATAAGAGCTCCTCATAAAAATACCACCAGCCTAAGCGGAGTCGGCTTAGTATAAACTGTAGGTCCCTCCATTTGCTGAGAAAACATTGAGACACCTAATTGGAGTGCTAAAAAATAAGAAAGAAAGCTAATCATTTATTCTATATCTAAAAATTACTTTTTTTTTACGCGCACTCAAGCGAGGTGTTAACTACCCAGAAGCAGTCGAACAACACTTTCATTCAACTAAACAAACAATCGAATTCGTGTTTAAAAGCTTATCGCCGTCGATACGGCTAACCGTCTGCGGGTTCTAAACAATCGTATGCTCAAATAATTCACGCTAAGCGTTTTGTGCACAATAAATAGGTGTATATACGTGCATGCATATGTGTGTTTGCAGGCAATAATCGGGTATACAATCGATTGTTTGTTTTGGCTAATTTTTCTTAATTTCTTTTTTTCTTTTTGGCTAAAAAAATATATCAACTAATATTGACCATTCAATTGAACTAGTCAAACTTATGTACGTACGTACATATATGTATATCTACTATAGTTGTACTACGCTACATGTGTATCAATATTTCATTGAAAAATTTGCTTATGATTTTTGTGTTGATTTTTTCTTTTGTTTTTTTTTTTTTTTGCTAAAATTGTTTTTTTTTTCAATTCATTTGCTTTTATAGTGGTTAATTTTTCATTTTTATATTGTTTATTTACACTTTCTGATATTTATGTATGAGTGCTTTAATTTGACGCGTTGAAATTGTACAAGCAGCGGCTATAAAATTTGAAAAATATCAGCGTCTTCCAGTGCTACCTAAGTAGATAGGTGATTAAATTTTGCAAATAATAATATATGTATGTGCGTGCATACATTAATGTGTCTGTGATCCAATTGATACGAATCAACTGAAATGCAGGAAATTTAAAAAATAAAAATCTTTAATTTATTTACTCGGTCTTAAGACACCAAAAATCGCCTTTGCCATCGAAGACATACATACTCGTATGTATGTATGTATGTACGTGTATAGTGTGTTTATAGACTTTTGTTTTTCAACAAGGCAATACTTATTTTGTCATACTGTAGCGATTGCGTCCGAGCTCCTCACCCAATTTGTGGTTTGCGTCTTTATGAGATCAACAGTATATTATAAGCCGCCTCCGAATGGTCGTTGGATTTTTATGAGGAGTTTTTTATTTTACAATTTTCAAAGAGTCAAAAATGAAGCCGATTTATAACCATTTCATGAATTACAGAATGTTCATAAGGACGACCCTTCTGTTGAGTAGCCTTGGCTAAGGATATAAGCCAGAGACGATTGAGGCGTTTGCAAGAGAATATATCTTCCTGATTGCTACGAAAAGTGATCGCTAATTGACTGGAATTTATTCGAGGCAGCCGCGTCGGTCACTTGCCCGATATCATTCTTAATCTTTAGAATAAAGCAAAATTATTATATTCTTGACCATAACATCAAATTATATGCGTTTTATTTTTGCCTGAAAATCTCATGCACTACATATTTATATATTTATGTATGGCGTTATGAGCGACACTACGGAATAAAACCATGAAGTCTACAAAAAATCATTAAAAAAATTAATAATAAATAGTCGAAGTAATATAATATTTAACAACACAATATTAATATTTGCAATAGTATTATAATTAAGCATTTTTGAAAGCGTCGAAATAATATTCCAATCATAAAATTAGTTTCAAGTCTAGGCTTTATTAGCTAATGGCATTTATGTTTTTTTTTTTTTTTTTTTTTTTTTTTTTTTTGTTCTTACGGTAGCTTTTACCAAGTCATTATTATTAAAGTAAATTAGTAGGTAAATAGTTTCACAAGGTTCATTTAGATAAATTATAATGGTGTACTCACAAAGCGCGAACGGTTAAATAATGTTATAAACTCAGCACGTGAATTTAAAAGTTCATAAAAATTTAAAATAATAATATTTTTCGTTTTCATTCTTTTTTTTAGGTGAAATAAACATTTGTAATTTGCTAAAGCTATTTTTATTATTTTTCAGCGTATACTTACATATATATACATATATATTTAATAAATAAATGAATCAAAAGCAAAGTGATTGACAGAAATGCATTGAGCAATTGATTATTTGTTTAACAACTTAACTTTTACAATTGTTTTTGCATTCATACTTACATACATAGTTGCATATTGAATATTGTATACTTTAAAATACTTGCCAATTTGCTTGCTTATAAGGAGGATCAAAATTGAGTGTGTTTTTTTACTATTCCAAAAAAATGAAAAAAATTCATTAGAAACAACTAATTTTTTATATGAAATCGACACAAATTAAATTCAGAAATTTGAGCTGAAATCTCGACAAAATTTTTTGGGTTTGCATTTAACTTGCTCATAAAAATAGTTTAATTTTAGATATATATATGTACCAGTGACCGTTTTTATGTAGGCGGAACGGCAGCTAAGGGGTGAAAATAAAAATTATTGTTCCTTTTCAATTTAATGACCTTTTCCAGATCTTTCATTTGATTTATTTATTCTCTCATAAAAAAATGTTTTCTCTTTATCTTCAAAATACCCCGAAACTGCCTCCTTGACTTCAGCTCATATGTTTTTCCATTTTTCTTTTTTGGTGATAATAAAACAGAGCAGAATCTAGGATGTAAAGTGGGTGATTAAAAAAAATATTGAAGTCCACCTTGTTGACGGTTGTTTTTGTAGTGGCGTGAGCATTCTGGGCACACATCTTGCGCTGATCTCAGTTATGCCCAAATGAGCGTGCAGAATTTTAAAAATGTTCATATCTGCGGGTTGTTTCTTCAATAGTCGAGCATCGTTGAGGACAGTATTTCCAATTTGCTTCTGCCCAGCCACGGGTCATATACATGGGACTCTCTTCCTTGGCCACAACTGATTTTCCCTATTTGTTAAGAATCTTTATAACGGCACGATAGTCGATTTCTTCCATATTTCACTTTCCACTCCCGATTATGTTGCTTCATTGGCGATAGCTTAAAGACAAATTGTCTAAGGACAATTAAACCTTATAATTACTTAGCCCGATCTAATAAAAATACTATAACTTTAAAAATCAGGATAGATTATTTTATGAAATCTGTAAAAGCGACCTAATCTGGCCGGTTCCAACAAATGAGTGAGTTTTTTGAGACAAACCGACATAGTTAACTTAATTCAGCTGTTCGGTGTATACTCTTTTGGAATTTTCTCTTCACCTACTGATACTTACAAACTACGAACCAAAGTTAATATACCGTTTCATGGTCATGAAAAGTGTAGTCCAAGGACTGTGGTTTATTTTTGTTTAGTTTGAGTGCTTAAAATGGTCACGTGCTGCATTGCCGTCATGCCCATAAGCAAGTACATTTGTGTTTTGCTTTCAATTCAAATAATTTTTGTTGACCTAAGCGAGCGCCTGCGCACATTCCACAAAGTAAGCAAAAAAAAAAAAAAAAAAAAAAACGTTAAGCCGTTGCACACACTTTCTCATGCATAAAAGCTTTCTTTATGATGAATATACATATATACATATATATACATACATAGAAGTGTAAACAAACAGATTCCTCAATTGTAATTTACCAATGCTCCTAACTGATCATTCACACACACAGGCATACATCGCGGATAAAAAAAAAACATTGCACACACAAAACCAGCTGATTGACGATTACATTCGCACAAATATATAACACACACATACACACAAATATACATAGCAGACACATGCCATTCTACTTGTACAATATTAGCTCATGTATACATGTGTGTGTGTGCACTGGATAACTCTCTCGGCGTAATTGCCCTCCCCATGCGAGCTAACAACACTTGACTCCAGCCAGCACTTCACATTATTAATATTGTTATGATTTGTTGTTGCTGTTCGTATTTTTTTTTTCGCACGCATTCTGACTCTATTGCCAATGTTGCTGCTGTGGCCGACGAGGCGCCTGCTGTTGCTCATCGTGTGTTGTTCAACTCATTCGCGATTCTCTGTTACTACACTTCGATTCCCGGCGATTGAGATAAAAGAAACAGCAATTAATAATTTTCAGTTATTTGCCGTTGATAATTCGAAAAGTTCACAACGAAATCGCGCAACCCTTGCTGGATTTATTGGGTATATTTTCGTCAATTTAGTCGTAGCGCGACAAGTACAACGAAACGTCTCCAGCGGATAAAAAGTGAACGAATGTGTTGAACCGGAAACGGAAAGCAACAGAGCATATACCAAATAAATAGAAAGAATAAAAACATATTAAAGAAAAAATAAATATAAATAATTTAAATGAAAAACAGAACTTGTGAACGAAATGTAAGAACGTAAGAAGTGTGCCAAAGATTAATTGTGTTGGAATTTAAGAAAATATGTATTTTAAATAATGAAATACACAAATATACAAAAACGTTTATAAAACAAATATCCTTGCTTCTTACCATTTATGTTTTCCTTTGCATTTTTACAAGCAATACGAAAGTTTTATGTGCCACAAGATAATCTTTTCTTTGTGTTTTTAAAAAATTTCCATAATTTGCGGCTAACTTTTTTTCTCGAGAAAGGAAAATGTCTGAACACAACACACCAAATGGCAATGTCGATGGTCAGGGTGGCCTGATCATACCCACCATTTCGGAGAACATCTCCAATACAAATACAACAGCGCCGGCACAACAGTACAATGGATATCCGTTAAACGCAAACAGCTGTGTGGCCAATGCGCCAGGCGACACTGGCAATGCCGTGGGTCGCAAAAACTCCCGCCTCTCGATACGTGGCTTCGGGCACTTTCTGCGCAAAAATTCGCGTCAGGAAGATGAGCGTAAATTCAGCTTGGCACAGTTAACTACGTAAGTGTAATAGATAAAATATTTTGAGAAAAAAAAATTTTAATAATAATAAATGAAATTACAAATCGATAAATGTGTAGTAGTAGTAAATTGTTATTTTAATGGTGTTGCATGCAAAATTAGTATTGAAAGTCCAATTTTATAAAATAAGAAAATATCACTCTTTAATCCTTATTTTGGAGCCAAAATTATGTTGATCACTAATAATAAATTATTTTGACCATTTATTATATTATTTAAAAATAAAAATTAAAAATTTTGTTCCTTCAAATATAATTTCTACGTCATTGATAAATCACAGTTAATTACTATTTTTTCTGATCAAATCAAATAATTTTTTTTAATAAAAAATTTCGATATTTTTTTTACTATTTCTGGAAATTTCATATAAAAAATGTTTGTATGCAGAATATGATATTCTAAGTAACATCATAAACTATAATAACATTTTAACAATTTTCTTTTTAAGAATACACAATGGTTTTTGTTTTGCAAGAGAAATATTTAAGATCAAAATTAAAATTAAAATTTTTGCATTCCAAATTTTATATTGAGAAAAATTGTTAATTTTTTTTCAAATTAACAGCCGCGCTTCTATTTTCACATTTCAATTCCACAATGCCAATTTGAAAAACTTCCAATGAAAGTGAATTGATGTGCTCGGATTTCCAAAAATTTCATTGTTTCTCTAATACATGCTGTACAGTTTATCGTTTTGGCAAGTTACAAACCGTTGCCGTTGTAATTTCCCTTTCAGTTTCAACGATATTTTTATTTTTTCCAGCTTTTCAAGATATTCTCAGGAAATCGTTAAAAATTTATAATTAACTCTGATTAAAACATATTCTACCCATAACAGAAAATTGTTAGACATTGGAGCACCGTTAAATTTTCAATTTACGCACATCTAAACGCTCGGACTCAAAACAAAAATTTATGTGGATTCTGTGATTTCAATCTGTGGATTTGTAAAGTTTGTGTGCGTGAAACTTTTAATTTTTGGTATTCTACAAAAGTAATGACTCGTAATATTCTCTTTCTTTTCGTAAAGAAGTTTCAAAAAGCTGATAACAGCTGCCGATATAAAAAAAACTTGTGAGACAGGTGATTTGAGTTAAGTAAAATTTTAATATCAAAAAAAAAAAACTAGCATAAACAATAAGATGTAACAAGATGTTAAATTTGTAGGAGAAAAAACGGAGAAAAAATACACTGCAATATTTGGAATATACATAAATAACTGTATATATGTATTTTTGTCGTTGCTGTTGCAATTAAATATAAATAATTAGAAATCTTATATATTCAATATCAATATTCGCTAATTTTATGAAAAATGTTCCGATTTTCCTTTTTGATGGCTCGCTCGGTAAATCCACAAAGCAATATTGAAGTGGTTTAAGAGCACATACATATTTACAAAATCAAGTTGAAATGAATTGTGTAGGTTGTAGAACACCAAAATGAATTGAAATATTTTCAATCTGCCTTCACTCAAAATTGAAATGCAGAAAAAGTTGGATTAGTTCGTTTTTCATGCTATCGAAATTTTTATGTTGACATTTATCCTGGTTTTTGGCATAAATAAAATGTAACCACTTTGTGGTTTTCGTCAGTACATTTTTTTATGCTCCACTGAAAAATTGAAGAAAATAAACAATATAAAAAAGAAATAAATATAAAATAAATCTATATTTGTATATACAAATGTTTGGTTGTAAAAAACCGCTTTTTTGGAAAAATTGCCAACCGATTAACTGGAAATTTTATCAGATTTTTTCTGGTGTTTCTGGTATGGTGTATACGAAAAAATTTTTTCGGGACGTGGACTAGATACTTTTTACATCGGGACCATTCGAAAAAGTCATATTTATGGTTCGATTTATCTGAAATTCGGTGACTTTTTGCTTAGATTAGCAGAAACACTACTCTACTCTCTACCAGAAGTGGACCAAAAACCGAACTATTACAAAAAAATCGTATTTATAGTTCGATTTACTTGAGATTATATTTTTCAGGAAATGAACCGAGCTTTTTGAAAAAAAGGGATCAATATGGTTAAAATTATGGATGATATGAGGCATTCATGTTCAAATTTTCGTGGGAGACTTTGAGCAGCGGAGAAGTGACACACACATGCAAACAAATATTCAGATCAATTATAATAAAAAAACTTAATATTTTGACTTAAATAATGCTTAAATTGGGTTTCTTATCCTTCTTTGCAATACCAATTAGAATAAATATTGGACGAAATACAAAATTGGATTTGCAAATTTTAAACAAAAAAACTTAAGGAGAAAAATATTATGTTTTTTATAGCAAACGGGTTAAATTAATTATTTAAAAATTTTGAAAAACATTCTCTTGATCCTTGGAATCATGAAAAAAAAACTTTTATTTACAATAATAAATGAATACAGTGTTTTCAAATTGATCTATTTGAAAGTAGTTGAAGAATAAAAATAAATAGAAATCTGGAGGCATTAATGCAAGTGTTCATACTCGAATGTAATTTTATTCGATGCTCATTCAAACATATTTACAAAAATCGCACTTATGTGCGCTTATATACCTATAAGTATGTGCATATTTATATGAAATTTGCCGAAAATAGCTGCGAATTTCGTTTAATAAATATTCATTTGCACCCATCAAAGACTGGGTGAGTTTTCGACGTAAAGCGAATAAGGAATGACTAGTTCGTGTGAAACCGCGCAATAAAAACTTTTTCGTTTCGTTTGCGAAAAGGTGCTTTGGCAGTTTGTTATTTGCCCATCATAATTTGGGGTATATTTCTTTTTAAAATTTAGCTCCATCTGTATATTCAAAATATAATGATTATTTGTGCAAAATTAAGAAATAATATTGTGTGAACTACATATTTATTAATGAGCGTACTGAGAAATAAAAGGTCCTTTTAAGAGGAATTAGTGTGTTTGAAATATGTTTTCCACCACAATAACTATGCTGGTTCTGCGAAACGACGAAATTCCATAAGACGCACTCGATAAGTTACCCAAATTCAAAATATACAAACTAATTGTGTTCGTCTTTTTTTGTTTAAAAAAGATTTTTTTTATTGAAAAACGGGTAGAAACAATTCATCATATTGTTCGTCGGAAGCGAATACTTTTTCCCATCCCTCCAATAATTTTCGAAAGCCATCTCTAAAAAATGAGTTTTCTCTGTCCTCGATCTAATCATTGAGCATTCTTCAGTTTCTTCAAAGTACCCCAACTGGCGACACCTCCAAATTATTTTGCATCCATTGGAAAAGCGAAGTAGCGAGGTCTACAGAAGACGACAGGTGGGATAAGACCTTCCATTTCGGCTGTACCAGAACGCTCTTTGTCCTCGACGCTGAAATCACCACTTTTGTAGCGTCCGCTTTTGAACACTCCGCATGGCTTATAGCTCGATGCAGATTCACCACAAACGTTCCTGAGCATTCGATGGGCTTCAGCTGCATTTTTCTTCTAATTAGAAAAGAAAATAAAAAACATTCCGCAAATGCTGCTTATTTAACTCAAATGCAAACATTTTCGAAAAGGAAAAAAATGTTGTTGTCAGAAAAAGACGCTCATGCAAATTAATTATTGTTGACAGATGTGGAACCGCTCCAATGAAACAGGTAATCGTTGCCAACCTGCAGGTGAAACCATCTCTTGATAAGGAACTGGTTAATTTTCCCTTAACGTTGTCAAATAATACCTGGTATGGATGCCCTATTTTCAAGAGTTTTTATCTTTTCAAAAATTGAAAAAAAAAAATTATAACTATAAATATGGACCATATAAATTCATACATATTCCCATATTTACATTAGTAGTATTCTTGTTAACCTAGCAACCTACCCAGTTTCTTGTTTTAAAAATCTGGTTTCTTTCCCAGCCCATCCCATTTCTTAGGAAAAAATGCTCATTGATTCATAAGTTTACTCAAATAATTTCCATATAACAATATTCATATATTTATATAGTACACATATAAATATACATATATAAATATATTTGCATTTAAAATATATTTAGGTCAATGAGCTTATTCCGTACGGAAGTATTTCCAAAAACGAAAACGAAATCAGCAAATTATAAATATACATACATGTATACGTATACATATACATATGTGTAAGTGTGTGTGAGTTCAAAAATATTTCTCAATAATATTGAGGGTTAGAGCACGCATATGTATGTAGTTGATATAAGAGCGGGAATACACTTGTATATGTTTATACATACAATATCATACAGGCATACACGTACGTTTACACATTGAGCAGCTCAAAGATTTTATGAAAAAAGGGCTGATTTTTAATATAACTCAAAACTTTATTTTTATAAAATGCTGAAATATGTACACACGTCTGTGCAGCAGCTTTCCCGCACAGATATTCCGCACATCAACCAAATTTAATCGTTTTAATAGTCGAAAGATTCCATTTTTATTACAAATAAAAAGCGTTTTAAGTTTTTGTTCTCCTCGAAGATAGAAATGAATTTATATACCTATACATACATATACATATGCACATACATAATTGGTGCTTTGTAGCCGCTGAAGCGATTTACTGCCGAGCTCGTCCTAACCTACGGTTTATACTGAGCCGCCTCCGAACGGCTGGTGGTTTTTTATGAGGAGGTTATTTTATGTCAGAAATACACTTGGAGGGGTTGACATTCCCTGCCGAAGGGGCGACCGCATGTATGCAAATAAAATAGCTGAATATTAGTCACTTCCGTTTATTTGTTTGGTTTTGTTCTTTTTTTTTAGCTGCAAAAATTACGGAATTTCTGAAACTAGTTTCAAAAGCTTATCATTTTCGCATCATATGTACGTCAATATGTAAATAAAATGCGAAATTAAAATTTAATATGCAACAAAAATGGTCTGAGGAATACTATTAATTTGTTTAAGGTTTTAATGGTCAAAAATGTATTTTTACCCATTACGTTGATGTGCTTGTATAAAATTATGAAAGAAGAAGGTCACTGCCCTTATTGTATTAGCATATTTTTCCAAAACGAAAAAAAAAATGGCTAGACAATCAAATTCTTTTTCTTTTTTTTTTTAATTCTACTAGCTAATGTATATAATCAACTGAGGTGAACACACGGCTTGTATCAAAAATTGGGCGTAAGCTACTGGTCTTATCCCGATGCCCGTAAGACACCTGAAGCTGCGAAGCCGTCAATCGCAACTGCTCGAAGAGCAGGCATGGGAAGAAGCAAAAAAGTTGAAATTCTAAATTTAAATCTGTGAGAAGATAAATTCATTGCATCGCTGATCCCATAAATATATGGATAATTGTAAAATATATACATATACACGTATATATGCCATAATGCAAAAACTTAAACTTAAATTAAGTTGTGCAAGGATTTACGATCCTCGCGTTAACACGCTGTATGTAAGTATAGTCCTCTGAGTTTCATACTCTTATACCTTTAGCTGCTTTCTTAATGGATTTTCGGGCCGAATTTCTCAAATCTGAAAAAATCAAATTTGATTTAAATATCTCAAAAACTAAGGACATGACTAAATTTACTCAACTCATCATTCTGACACGATCGATATAAATTTTGATCGTCTCTCTTCTCATCTTCCTTTGGCACTGACATACTTTGGACCAAAGTCAATATACCATTTCATATACGTGAGAGGTATAGAAATTAATGGGGAAGCGCAAAGTTCGGTTCAGTCTTTTCGATATATTAAGAAAAACAAGGCAGTAAAGGTAAATAAACTAGTTTCTTGCAATATAGTGATCTTGCACTATTTTTTCAATTAAAATTTTAGATAATAAAAAAGTCACTAGATGGTGTTGATATTCTTACAATACTTCGAGCATCATCTCATCTGATTGAGTCAGACGCATTTGTAAGCAGCTATTTGAAGCCATATTTTTTAGAAGGTAAATCGTTATTCGTCTGAAAAGGTTTTTGAATTCAAAATGAGTGAAAATTCTGCAGAAGTACCTTTTTCGATATAAAAATGCTAAAATGCTGCAAGAAATGTACGAAACTGTAGTTCATGGTTAGAATGCTGCAAGTGAGCGAAAGTCAGTCATTCAAAAAACCAATGAAATTCTGCAACCGTTGCAGTAAGACAGGCACGCAAGCTAAACAAAGCGGAAGCATTAGACATTTCCCACGTGACAGTTGGGAATCATTGAAAAAAGGCTGGCTACTCAAAGGAGCTGTAGATTGATAATCCGAAAGTCATTTGTAGAAATATCGTTATATCCTCAAAAAGTAGCACGTGTACAACTTTGTTTCCGCCGTTTTTTTCCTAAATTAAAAGCTTTATTGCGAAAAAGTGCTTACAGATATATTATTCAAATAATTGTCCTTCGCTAGCGACAACTTTCTCCCATCTTTCCCGCAATTTTCGGATCCCGGCTCGAAAAAAGGAGTCCTCTTTTGACGCTATCCATGAACCAATCCATTTTTCCAATTCTTCGAAGGATTGAAAATGTTGATCTGCCAGGCCGTATGCCATCGAACGGAATAGGTGGAAGTCAGAAGGGGCGACATCTGGGGAATACGGCGGGTGGGGTAAGATTTCCCATTTCAGCGTTTCCAGGTACTTTTTGACCACTTTTGCGACGTGAGGCCGAGCATTGATATTGTGGCCGCTTTTCTTTTAGCGCGCGGCTAAGGCGCATCAGTTGCGTTCGGTAGCGATCTCCTGTGATGGTTTGGCACGAATCTTCATCAAGCAATGCTTCTAGTTGTTCATCTTTGAAGGTTTTTACTCTTCCACCACCATGTTTGTTTTCGACATCGAAATCACCATTTTTAAAACGTTCAAACCAGTCCCGACACGTTCTTTCACTCAGCACAGCATCACCGTAAGTTTCTGAGAGCATTCGATGCGCTTCAGCTGCATTTTGTGACATTTTCGAGCGTGAATAATACGAAAACAAGAACAACTCTGTCACTGAACGGCGATGACAATTCGTTAGGCACTGTCCACACTCACTTTAAAGGCATTATCATCTACATATGTATTTCAACCAGCCTCAGCCGGTACAGCCACCTATCGGAAAACGGCGGAAGCAAAGTTGTATACCCGGTCATAATGGTATTTTAAAATATCTCTTTTAGAGCTACCAACACGTGTCTTATTAAAAATATTTATTCTGTGCACTTAGTGCAATTATGCTGAAATTAAATGCAACTAATAAGTTTGAAAATAATTAAATTTAATCTTTCTTTACAGGGAAGCATTGCCAAGATTAGATAATTACAGAACATCAAAGCGTAATATGAAGCGGCCATCGATTGGCGAGCTGCACGGCGAACTACAAGAGCAAGTGAGTAAACAATGAAAAGCTCAAGTAAATAATGTAAGCAAATTAAATTGCAATCAGTGGTATTGTGAGCATATCAAATGCAAAGGAAAGCAAGAAAGACACTTAAAGAAAAACGTGATGAAAACCATGTGTTTGCCAATACGGCAAACCTCAGCTAACAAACAACAAAAAGTAGATTATAATGAAATTGTGCGCAAGTATGTGTGCACTTTGAAAAAATAAATATGAATATTATCCAGTAGTCCAAGTATGTGTAAGTGCATGAGATCCTTGGTTTTACTTTACGTGTTTATCAACTGAAGCAGTCAGTGTTCACTTAAATCACTGCCAATCGCACTTCATTTCATGATGGTGACAACAAACATACTTTATTAATTGCCCTCCTCTTGTTATTAATTTTTACTGAGCCGCTTTTGGGGAGGTAAAAATTTGCACCGAGAAAACGGAATTTTTACATTTCTTTACGAGCTAATTCTTAACGATATTTCTCACCGAATAGAGGTAATTTTAATTTAACCAAATAGACTGCACACATTTAAATGAAAATGGTATTGAGATTGGAAAATATAAATTAATGCATGAAATTATTAAATGAATTGCATACAAAGTCCGAACAACCTGCCTTAATTTTAATGGAATAAAAACAGAACCGTGAACCTTTTCTTATCTACATGTACCGCTGATTGAATTCTGTTTATATATATATATATATAATAGGCGCTTTGTAGCTACTGAGGAGACTTTTGGCCAAGCTCTTCCTCCAATTAGTGGTGTGCTTACCGATGTTTTACCAACAGGTGGAGCAACCCACAGTTTATTCCAAGCCGCCTCCGAATGGCCGATGAAGCCTTTTGAAGAATTTTTAATTAATTAATTTTGCGAAGTGAATTTGAATTATAAGCGAATTATGACTTTCTTTATTCAGTGCAAAAAAATGTGGCTAAAGCAATAGAAATCACTCATACGCCTGGCTGATTTTTATTCCAGACGTAAAAGCTGGATGCATTAGCCGAGTGGTTAGCAGTGCGTACTACCATTCGGAAGGCCAGAGTTAGATTATAGAAAATTATAGAAAAATAATTTAAATAAAAAACTAAGTTAGTTTTTCTAATTGCAATCGCGTCTCGACCGGGACAGTCAACTCCACCGAGTGTGGCCTGAAATATGACCGAAAATCGCTTCGGCCAATATATTAAAACTGTCGCATCTGGTTATCGGAAAACCCAAGATTTATTGTCGAAAAGCCACCCATCCTTAACGTGTAACTGTTTGGTGCAGTTTACGGTTCGGCGGTGCCATTGGTCCTTACTTTTTCGAAAATAAATGGATTGCGCTAGCGGGAGGTGATTAACGATTTTTTATCAGTAGATTTGTATAAATCTGGACAAGGTTTACTTTAAACAAGACGGCGCTACGCGCCACACAAGCAACGAAATCATAAATTTTTTAAGGGAAAGGTTTCTTTGCATATCAAAATAGCGCACTTATTGGAAAAACCTTTATTGCAATAGTCAGTCAGATTAAAAAAAAGAATAAACTTCCTTAAAATTATTCTTTACTTGCATAAGTGCATATGTCTGTATGTGTTTTACAGTTAAAATTTCCATATAATTCAACTGAATATTATCTTCACGGTGATAGAAATCTTTGTATTATATTAAACTTTCCGTTCTTATCAATAAAAAAATAACACCAAAAATATATAACATAAAAACAGATTATTTTCATTGAAAGCTGAAGTAGGTTCAAATGTATGTATGTATGAATGAATTTTGTTTGTATGTGGCACTTATAGTGAGTACTTCAATATCAAACATGCCATCAATATGTTAACCGACTGACAGAACCAGACATAACCAGAAAGATAGCAATATGTGAAGATTTGTAGAATCGATAACAATAATAACAAATGAAAAATTCGTAAATAAAACTTAAACAACATTGAAGGCAAACTTCAATGTGACAATCCGCATACTACATACACGTATACGTATTTGTGTATAAGTATATTTGCACAAAATACAATAAATATAATTCATTTCTTTGCCTATTATATTTTTATATTTCATATGGCTTAGTACATATGTATTGAAAGATCTGCAGAAGACAATGACAATTTTAGAATGCCTAAAACATTGATATTTTGAAACTTTATATTTTACAATAGATTCAAAATCGGTTTAAAATATAATATATATATATATATATATAATATAATATATATATATATACATTATTATTTACAGCCCAACTGGTTGGCATTTTTCGGCTGTCTAGTTCTTCTTCCACCTATTTCCCTTGCCAGCAACTGGAATTGGGTACTGCCCGAGTATGCATCAGCATTATACTAGTAGTATACTAGTTCATTTAGGCATCTTGAATTTCTACTTAAAATATCAATGAGTTTGCCTGCAGCGAAATAGGCACCGTCAACCTCACACTCGGCTATCGTGAGGAAGAAGCGATGAGATCTTCAAAATACTGGTATTTACTAAGAATTTTTGCACTCTAGGCTACTTACTCATTCATCAAGAGCTTTTTGAACTTATAAACCTCTTTCATAACCTTATTGATTAGTATTGTTCGTCTTTTATTTAGAATTAAAAAGTGTCATTGTTAAGTGCACACTCTAATTGACTTATCTATCCATCGCAATGACTAGCTGAGTTAAGTGGCATCGGGCGGCACAGAAGCAGATTTAATCTTTACCTCTGACAGACGTCACTTATGCGCATTTAGTTATCAGCATTTAGTTAGCATTTAGTTTAGCTGCTATTTTATTGGAAAAACCCATTATGTACTTATTTAAAAGAAAATCACATTCTTTTTCTAACGTTTTTAAACAATCAGAAAATAATTGATGCACTTAAGTTCATGCTTGGAATTTTTCACTTTCTGATTTGTATTTCTTCCTGCATATAGAATTAACCAGTAGTATACATATATATGTGTGTGTGCTTATTTGCCCTCCCACGCTCAAATTTTTATGATAAATACGCGATCATTTAAAGCGTTCAGAGCAATTTAGTGCCAAATGCTTAGAAAACTTCAAATATAAATTTTCAAACACTGTTTATATGTGTGCGTGTACGTATATATGTATGTATGAAAGAATGTGTGAAAATAAGCGTAACAATTGCCAACTCATTTACTGAATATTTATTTCCTTTAGTTGATAATTTGCACCACGTTTGCGAATCATTATATATATATATTATATATATATATATATATATGTGTGTGTGTTATTATGATCATTATCACCAAACCGTACAATAATAGAGAAAACCAATACAAGTAATGGAAAATATGCATGTATGTATGTAAATATATTTGTGTGCAAATTGTTAATATGTTAGTGATATTGTCACACCAACTGATCTAACGATGTTAATCAAAATTCATTAACATTACGTTAATTAATTTAAATTTGCTTCAATTCCGCTGTGACGAATCGTTCACTGCGCTAATGGGTAATTGAAAACTTTATTTGTTTTATTTTTTTTGGTTTTTTTTTTTTTGGTTTTTGCAATAAAAGAATTGAATACAATTTCATACATAAATTATTCCGTAACTGTTGTTGTTATTACATACGCACAATAAACACATAGCATATCATATGACTTAGTATATGGGTTAGAAACTGAAAAATATATACATATGTACATATAAATAATATACGTGTAGTAAACAACTTGTCTGATTTATATCAGCGTATGGATTTATGAATCTTCCGGCGGCGTACATGACGTATGAGCAACATTTCATTTGTAATTGCAATTATGATTGCAATTGTGATGCACAGTGTGGAGCGAAAGCAAAAGCTCAGCGCTTAACAACAAAATCTGGCGAAAGAGATTCAAACCAATTGGAGCAGCACATTTGTTACGACTGTCACAAAGTCAAAGGCCACGTTCACCTACTAAAAACTTACATTTCTTTCATTTAATCAAAACAAAATGATCATTTTTATGAGCTTTTCAATATTTTTGTGAGAAAAATTTTATGATAAAATTATGGTTGACTGAATCAAACCATCGCACCACCTTCGAAGAGTAGGAATACTCGTATATGAAGAAACTAGCAGACCCAGCCACATGTTGTTATTTTTTTTTTTGTATTTTGTCGATACAAAACCATAGTTAAGCATCATCTAATTATAATAATATAAATGTAATATAAGCTTTTTTAAATACACTATTGTAAAGTAAAAAGTACTATAAATACGATATTTTGAATAGATCGGGGACCTGGTCTACTTGCCGGAGTGAAAAATGATCTTCCTGCTAATCTAAATTAAATCCACGCGTGTATCGACTTTTAAGACATCTATTCTAAAACTATCCAAGAATATGACTTCAAAATTTCAGCAGCCAATTCGGCATATGTGTTTTAGAAGCTAAAGCGGTTTTAATGACCGAGGTTCGAGCAGGTTCGAAAGCTCGGGCAGAACTTTGAAATAGGTTTCCTCGAGATTTCATATTTAAAGGCTGTAAAAAACGGTGTCAATGATAGCATATAATAGCATATACATACATATCGGTATAGGAAAATCAATTACTTTTGTCCTGCAACTTGAAGTGATTTTTTTTTTAAATTTCGAATTTTCGAACTTCTCGATTTTTTTTAGTTTATAAATATAAATATAAAAAAAATTGGTTCTACTATTTCAAAGCATCACCGGCACCGTTTCACGTGTGCAGACTGCAGCCGCTTCAACTTTAAGGAAAATTCCAATATTTTTTATGCTAAAAATTGTTTTTGTACCTAAAATGTAATGCATTATTGTCTGCGAAATTCGTTCACAGCAATAACTTCTTTTCGGTAAAAAAAAAATTGCTAAAAAATGCTTTTTTGTTGGGTTCTAAAGGAGACGTCCTCAAGTATATCGCACCAAAATTACGATTATGTCGAATAGTTCTGTGCCTGGCCCACTTCGCACTGTCTCTTGATTCGCTAAACAATGTCACTGTCATCGTTTAGTTGCATCATTCCATTGTCTGCACAAGCCCGCTTCTAGAAAACTCCCAGAACAAATTATTCTTATGTCTTATGTTTCTGTCTTATGCTTCTTAACCATATACAATATTAGGACGAAAATGTTGAGCGACCTGTAGATATTAGTCTTTTTTTTCTTTGTTGAGAGATCAATACAGAAAGATTCAATCAGATCGTTGTCGCTCACTTAGGTTCCGATCGTCATGCAAGCTTTCATTCGACCATCTTATGCATAGAAGCTGACGCATGCTCCTTGTCAGCTCCTCGCTGAATAGCTCAGCCGGCAAACCAATGGCTCCCTCCACTTTGTCTTTCTGCCGTCGGACAATAGCTACTTCGTCAAAGTCGCGTTTTGAGGCACAATACCTCTTCTAGTAGTAGTATTTTCCATAATCATCGATTGGGGGTCTTGCTGGTTCATCATCACCCGAATCTTATGGGAATTAATTTCAAACGTTTCAGCAATTTATTTTTATAAAATTAAATTAAAAGAGGCAACAACAAAGATTTATTTTTTTATAAATTAAATTTTGCTTAGAGTAAAACTACCTTCAACTTTGTTCTACTTTTCAATGAGGCAATAAATATTAAAATTATGCTGAATTTAATCATGAATATCAATTTTTAATCACAATTTAATTAATGGTTATGATAATTAATTAATATTTAGTTTATCAGGCCATAATTAATGGGTAAGTCAGATATATCGCAAATCATTGCTGAATTCCATTTCGCCAGATGGGCATAAAATAATTAACAAGTGTTGTATGCATGTATGCACACCCACACAAATATATGCATACCTGCTTACAATACATATATACATATTTCAAATTGAAAGCCCACGAAGCCTATAAGAGATTTGTAAACAATAATATTTACAACAATGAAGAGAATCGATTGAAAGGCAGCCGAAAGAAAATATGAAATGTTCAACCATGAAATCACACGAAACGCTTTATTTGCTGTCTATTGAATGATTTAAAGCCTATTAACACGTCGAATTCGAATTGCTAAGAGGGAGTTAAGTTTCGTTTGTTCGATAATGTTTACCTACCAAGGAATCTATTTTGAAATTAGCAGTCGTGAAGATATCCAGCGTTTCCTCAATGACGGCAATAATTTTTTGATTTTTCAAGCAATTAACAAGCTGAGGATGATTCGTTGTAAGCGCACTTAACTTGATTTCGTTGAAATTTTTTAATCTATCAGATGTACAACTTTGCTTCCGCCGTCCTTCGCTAGCGACAACTTTCTCCCATCTTTCTGACAATTTTCGGATCCCGGCTCGAAAAAAGGAGTCCTCTTTAGACGCTATCCATGAAGCAAACCATTTTTCCAATTCTTCGAAGGATTGAAAATGTTGATCTGCCAGGCCGTGTGCCATCGACGTGAGGCCGAGCATTGTCGTGTTGGAGGATGACTTTGTCATGTCGCTCTTTATATTGTGGCCGCTTTTCTTTTAGCGCGCGACTAAGGCGCATCAGTTGCGTTCGGTAGCGATCTATTGTGATGGTTTCACCCGGTTTTAAGAGCTCGTAGTAAATCACACCGAGCTGATCCCACCAAATAGATATCATAACCATGTTTGTCTTCGACATCGAAATCACCATTTTTAAAACGTTGAAACCAATCCCGACACGTTCTTTCACTCAGAGCAGCATCACCGTAAGTTTCTGAGAGCATTCGATGTGCTTCAGCTGCATTTTTTTTCCCGCAAACGGCGAGAATTAGGCACATAAATGGACATTTTCGAGCGTGAATAATACGAAAACAAGAACAACTGTCACTGAAACGGCGATGACAATTCCTCACTTTAAAGGCATTATCATCTATGTATTTCAACCAGCCTCAGCCGGTGCAGCCACATATCGGAAAACAGCGGAAGCAAAGTTGTACACCTGATATATACTGATGTAGTAAAAATAATTCATTATGAAGGCTTTTACTCACCATAGCTATAATTATTCAAATGTTCAACGTTTTGCTCGATATTTTTTTGCAGTTAGAAGGCATGTTCGTTATGCCTCTCTCATAGAAACCCTTACGCCTATTGGCAAAATTAGAACAGTTGGTTTCTACACGGAACTCTTGAGACCAATTTTCAAAAGCCATATTATTCGGAACAGATGGTAATCACTTCGTGTGATAACCGGACTATCAGATGGATGCATACAAACCTCCCGACCAAGCTCTTGAGTTTCACCTTTATCAAAGAATAAATGCAAAATGCAGCGTATTTTCTATTTGCTGGTGTCCATCTTTGACATGCGCTTGAAACAAAAGTGAGTCAATTGATCAACACTTCTCCCGTTATACAATATTAAAAAAAAAAAATTTTTGATCATTTTAATGCCATCTAGCGTAATTCAATTGCACTTATAGAAAGCGAGATAACGATCACTAAAGTCATCTACTGTAAAAATAATGGATCACATTTTACTAGACTAATATAAAAAAGACTCTGTCCTCAACTACTGACCGTCTTACCCGCTGATAGTAGAAACCTGAAACTCGGAAGACGTATTCAATGTCACATTTTAAATCACCGTGAACGGTTGAGTTGATATACAAAATTGTCGCATTTGGAGGGAAGATAATTCACAAGCCAATGCTCAGATGTTGTTACATCCTCAAAAGTCATATATGGGAAAACGATGGTTATTGGTTTTTTTCGTGCCTAAATTGAAGGATGTTGATGTGGAGCTCATTTGGTTCCAACAAGACGGCGCGGCCGCATCTCAGGTCGTGGGCCTATTGCATGGCCTCCAAGATCGTGCGATTTAACACCACTGGACTATTTTTATCGCTTGTCTGCGCGTATAAGCTCGAGACGATTGAAGCCTTGAAAGAGAATATTCTTCTAAGCATTATTCAATTGTCCTAGAAACATGTACAAGAAACAGGAGATTTTCCTGAAAAAAAACATGGCAAGTCTGGTAAATTGTTGAGCATCGGCAATAGCCATCTTACGTCTTAGTCTCGAAGACGTACAATGTAAAATAAATATATTTCTTGCTCTTCTTGAGTAAATCTACTGAAACAAGTATGTAGGCAAAATTAAACATGCAAGAGCTTTGGTTCAAGGATTTAAATTCCATTTTAATATGTCCCGTGCAACTTGAACTCAACAATGTTCCGGTTGATGTGATGTTTGAATTGTTTGCCACGAAAGTCACTTCCCATATCGTACAATAATAAATACTATAAATTTCTGAAAATCATATTTATTACCAGGCTTAAGGGAGAACTTTTGGTTTTTAAACAAAATAAAGAACTAAATGTTAGTTTACACTTTCAACGTACGACAGATTCAATTTTCCACATAAATACTTACATATATAAAAATAAATAATAAAAATTGTTCATTCAATCTTTTTGAACTTACTTACATATGTACATGTAAAACAATTAAACATTGTCAACACTTATCAAATTTTCCCTCTCCTACAGAGCATTCAGATGCCAGATCCGCCGCCCGAAAGCAGTACTCACATGATCAAGCTCGGCTTGATCAATGGCGTCGTCATACCATGTTTACTTAACATTTGGGGCGTTATGCTGTTCCTGCGTCTCAGCTGGGTAGTCGCCGAGTCTGGCATATTGCAAACACTGATTATCATCGGCATTTCGGCAGTGGTTTGCGTGATCACTACACTTTCACTATCCGCGATCAGTACGAATGGTGAGGTTAAGGGAGGCGGTGTATACTTCATAATTTCACGCTCGCTGGGTCCAGAGTTTGGCGCTTCCGTTGGCGTTGTCTTCGCATTCGCTAATGCTGTTGCTGCATCCATGAATACGATCGGCTTTTGTGATTCACTGAATGATTTACTAAGTGAGTATGAAAAATAAATCAGCGGTATACATACGAATATTAACAGTTATGATATTTTTTGCAACACTTTTACAGAGAGTCATGGTTTGCAAATAGTCGATGGTGGTATTAATGATGTACGCATCGTTGGTATATGCGTAATCGTGGTTTTGATTCTTATTTGTTGTATCGGCATGGAATGGGAGTCGAAGGCACAAAACTTTCTCATCGTCACCATAATTTTGGCTATTTTTAATTTCCTCATTGGTGCTGCCATCGGACCGCGAGGCGATCAGGAGTCTATTGCGAAGGGTTTTGTGGGCTTTTCATGTAAGTTGCTATACTCGTATGTACACATACATATTTAACTTATAAGAATTTCATTTCCAATTTCCAGGGAGTAATTTCAAAGAGAATTTCGGCAGTGACTATCGTTTCTCGGAAGGAGTTAATCAGAACTTCTTCAGCGTGTTTGCAATTTACTTTCCCAGTGTCACTGGCATTCAAGCTGGTGCAAATATTTGTGGAGACTTGAAGGATCCAGCCGCATCCATACCCAAAGGCACATTTTGGGCGCTTATGATTTCCATGGCTTCGTACGCTGTGTTTGTTTTCTTCGCTGGTGGTGCAGCGGCACGCGATGCTTCCGGTAACGTAGCAGATTTGATTAACGGCACATTGGTTAGCGCTGAGCTGCCGTGCAAACTAGCGCAGGTAAGAGCCGTATATGGTATATTAAATGGTGACATCAGACTTGAAGTGTCTGTGTATCAGCCGCAATAGCCAGGTGGTTACTAGTGCGTACTATCTTGTAGTAAGTCATAGACTCAAGTTCTGGCCCGAACAACATTCAAAATTATAGAAAATTTTTCTTATTGCGGTCGCGCTCATCAGGGAATGCCAACTCAGAGTGTATTTTTGATCAAAAATAAAAAGCTTCTCATAAAAATCCATTGGCCGTTTGGGGATGACTTAGAACGTATTGTATAGGCTATTCAAATCCGCCAGAAGCAAGCGGGACTAGTCTAACTTACCACGGTTTTCTAATGGAAGCACCAGGAATCGAGCTGGCTTAAAAGGTCCGGACCAAGGGGAAAGGCGGAGTCAAGTCTGCATAAATAGGAATTAAGTCCACTATAATCTCCAGATTGTAATTTTAATACTGGCACGGGTCTTACAAGACAACTCGAGCGCTCCCTGATAGGCCTAGTTGGTGGTTTAGCCTCAAGTAAATGTCTGAGCTCACGACGGCAGCACGTTTCACTGTGCAAGTAATGCTCCCGTGACATCAGGAGTTTTTCTGTCACGGTCTTGAGGGCGGTGCGCTGGCATGCTTGTAGTTATGGCAGTGTGTACAATCCTGGACCCCTAATTGTCGAGATAGGTTTCTTTAGTTATAATTGCACTTTCCACATCCGATTGTTAAGCAACTCCAAAATGGTTTAGATAAATTAGAGCACAAAATTACTTATTTCATCTGTGGATCACCCTAACGTACAACTGTTATTTATTATTAATTATCTCTTTGTTACAGAACTGCCAATATGGTTTGCACAATTCGTACTCCGTTATGCAGCTGATGTCTATCTGGGGTCCCCTCATCTATGCCGGTTGTTTCGCTGCGACTTTGAGCACAGCTTTGACTAACATACTCTCAGTGCCTCGCCTAGTACAGGCTTTGGGCATAGATCGTATCTATCCCGGTTTGATATTCTTCTCCAAGCCGTATGGCAAACATGGCGAACCCTATCGCGGCTATGTGCTTACCTTCTTCATATCGGCTGGTTTCCTGCTAATTGGCGAGCTGAATGTTATTGCACCACTCATTTCCAACTTCTATTTAGCATCCTACGCCTTAATAAACTTCTGTACATTCCATGCGTCGTTTGTGAAGCCCCTAGGCTGGCGACCAACCTTTAAGGTATGCTTACATAAATTATTTATGTACAGACTTTAAAAAAAAAATAATTCATTTTTAGTATTACAACACCTGGTTAAGTCTATTCGGTTTTGTACTCTGCATCGCTATTATGTTCCTGATAGATTGGAAATCTTCGCTAATCACATTGGTTATTATATTTGCGCTCTATCTGATCGTTATGTATCGAAAGCCAGAGGCTAACTGGGGCTCCTCAACGCAGGAGCAGCAGTATAAGGCTACTTTGACAGCCGTTCATCGTTTGCAAAATGTTTCCGATCACGTCAAAAACTATCATCCACAAATATTGGTACTCAGCGGAGACCCCAGCAGCCGTCCGCCCCTCATCGATTTCGGCAATATGCTAACCAGACACAATTCCTTAATGTTTATCGGCAATGTTGTCCCGGTAAGTCAATGAGTAGCTCGTCTTGAGCGCAATCGAGAATCTCTCGTAACTTTTAGCTTTGCTTTTAGATGAGCATGGGTTACAAAAATCGCTTGAGCATTATTAAGGATGGTCAAAAATATTTGGACGCTCGAAAAATTAAGGCATTCTACAATGTCATCGATGGTTTATCTATGGAAGAGGGCGTAAATGCGTTAATAAAATCCACTGGCTTTGGCAAACTAACACCGAACATTGTGCTGATGGGCTACAAAACCGATTGGGTACAGTGTCGTCGGCAATGTGTCGAGAGCTATTTTAATATTTTGTAGTGAGTATTTATTTATACAGTATATTACAATTATTTTATGCTCATTTTCAAATGTAAAACATCTACTCTTCAGCAATGCCTTCTCTCAGCGCATGGGCGTGGTCATACTAAGACTACCGAATGGACTAGAATTCTCCGAATTGAATCCCGAAATACCGAGTAACGGTCGCCATGTGCATAATGCCAATGAATTGGGTTACACAAATGCGCTGGTGCCAAGTGCAAACGCCGCGTCGGAGCTACTCCATGTGGACTCAAACTTGAACTTGGCTGGCATTGACAACACCAATTCATCGTTCGCTATGTCGCATGTGCCGTCTATGCCCAGCATGCCAAACATGTCTAGCTCCCGCAAGTATACCTTTAGTCAAGGTGATGGCATAAAGTATCTAACGAAGGGTGGCTCCGAAGTGGCAAAGGATGTGCTCGATGCTGTTACGGTATTCCTACGTAAACAGCCCAAGGGCACTATAGACGTATTTTGGCTTTACGATGATGGCGGTAAGTGGGAAAATAGTCTGGCTTAAGATCAGCGCTTAATAACTTTGTATTTTTCTTCTTACAAAGGTCTCACTATGCTACTGCCTTACATACTCTCGTTACGATCGAATTATCAAAATTGCAAACTGCGTGTATTTGCCTTGAGCCATGGAAAGGATGAAGAAATGGAGGAAAAGAAGTGAGTAAAACGTGCTTTGAGTCTCAGCGAAAGACGTGAAATTAAATATCTCATCCTTCCTTCTCTTTTTATTCACTAGCATGGCGAATTTGTTGAAAAAATTCCGCATCAAATATTCCGAATTAATTATGCTTAAGGGACTGTCTACAAAGCCTCGCGCGGAAACGCTAGTGAAGCATAGGGAACTCATACAAAGTTTCTGTCACAATTCCGTCAATGAAATGCGCCACCTTGAGGAAGAGCTGCATTCATTGGAGGAGAAGACTAACCGTCAATTGCGGATACATGAATTGGTGGTGGAGCACTCAGCTAAATCGACACTTATCGTGATGTCCCTACCAATGCCACGGCGGGTAAGTACACGCATATTTCCATAGCACATAAATACATAACCAATACTTTAGTAAATAAAAAAAAACTGTAACAATTAAATTCATTTTCTTTATTCACAGGAAGCAATATCTGCTGCGCTATACATGTCTTGGTTGGAGATGCTCACCACAGATATCAGTTGCCCAGTGGTGCTGGCACGTGGTAACCAAACGCCAGTATTGACATTTTATTCGTAGTCTTTCTTTTTTTTTTAATGCAAACATCCATGGCGCATTTTATAAGCAACTAAAACAACAACAACCAATGCACTTATTACGACATACATTCTTAAATACACACATATTTATATTCAAGAGTATAGTAAAGTTTTGCTTGTAGTATTATTAGTTTGTAATTTGTTAAGCTCAGCCAATTGATAAATAAATAAATCAAAAATAAAGATTAAAATATAAAATGAGAAAAAATTTTCATATACCGAGTATATAAAGAAAACAGAATACAATGTTATCGCTTTAGATGTACAAATATCTTCTATCATTATTATTAGCCTTAAAACTTGAAGGGAACTTGTTGAATTAGAGAACATTTCACGGGTCAATATGGAAATACGTATGACTTTAGTTTGTACATATGCACGTACATATATTTATAGCTATAGCTTAGTATATATTGCAGGAGAAGGATGTCTGCTCTCGTCGCTGTTATGCTTCCACATTCAGTAATAGGCGCGGCGTGGATTATTCTGTGGTAGGCAACGACAATTAAAAGATATGGAAAAAAGAGCCCAGTATAGCAATTTGCTTACCAATGGATTAGGTCGAAAACGATATGCTAACATCATGCGTTTGCGATAGGCATCGTACTCATTATCGCACTCCTCAGGCGTTGCAGCGCTTGCCACACCCAAACCTTGATTACCGTCTCTTTGTGGTGCCCTATAAAGATAATATGCAATATAGTTTGTTGTTTAGAAGTAAAGAAAAGGAAAGAAAAACCAATTAGTGGATTAAGTGGAGCGTATTTCGTAATCTGTTCACCGCAACCGGAAAGATCGGAAAACTATACAAACGAAGTTTCAAATATTCATTCCTATGCTGCAATTCGAACCGAAACGAAAATTTCTCCGTTCGGCAGATTTGATATTCTGCGTTCCGTTCCGTCGCGATAAATCTTTGAAATTAACATACGACTCCAATTCTATCTAGTTTTTGAACTTTTTTTTTGTTTCAGTCTAAATCAGCAAATCAATTCTAATAAATTTTTTTTCTTTCAACCTAAATTTCTTACAATTCTTAGACCTAAAAATCGAAAAGCAGAACAGCCTTGATTGTATACTGTTTTGGATCGTATAAACAATTATTCGCCACAGAACAGTTAAGCAATCATTTATTAATTTCTTTGATTGCATTCGAAAGGAAATGCTTTGAGCTCATAGATAAACTTATCCAATAAATGTCTACAACTGGTTTGATCGTTGTATGCTCTTACAGACAACCGTTTGATAAACCAATTTCATTCAAAGCTATACACAGTATGAACAGTTTGTAAAAAATTAAATGATTTCATACTTACTTATTAACGGGATCGACTATACCGGCGCCGTCAGTACCCAAACCTTGACCCTCTTTCCACCCTAACTTTTGTAGCATTTGAAAGCCTATATTATCTTCCTTTAATTTATACTCCTTGTAATCACTCAAATCGGGTTGGCGATTATTCTTCTTGGCTTCATACTGTTCCATAAACTTTTTCAGCTCTTCGGGCGGCAAAAAGTCGCCAATATGATGTTTGCCCTCACTCTGTTTCGTCAATGCTGTAGCCCATAACTTAGTTGCCTCCATCTCCGCACAACGCAATTTGTGCTCCCACGTACCACCGTCGACATCCTCATCTGAATCATATTCATATTTGAATTTACCACTACGGGCAAGTCGATCGATTTCCTGCCGTTTTCTTATCATATCCTGATATAACAAATTCACTTTGTAATGCTCTTCGCACTTCTTCCAATCCTCTTCGCTAAGATTAGTGGAGCCGTAATTGAGCCGTGCATATTGCAACAGGGCTGGATCATTGCGAGTTACGGTGGATAACATTGGTTTATTTTGATTGGCAAACGAAGTAGGCACATCTATGAAACAAAGCGTTATATGTGTGTATGTACATTAAGCTATAATAAATATATATACTCACTCGACATCATATCACTTGCAGTACTAGTTGAAGCCTGTACTTTTTCACCCCAACGACTTTTGCGTTGCTTCTTGCGTTCCAAACGACGCTGCTCTTCCAGCTCGGCCTCAGCCTCACGTTCTTGGCGCTCCTCTTCGCTCAACTCATTGCGGCACTCGATGCGACGCTTTATATTATCGCGATTACGATCTAACATGCCGCGCATATATTCATCATCCGAATCTACATCGCCACTAATAGCCGACTCGGGATCATATTTGTCAGTTACATCATTTTGCTGCGCACTTTCTGCTGCTTGCTGTTCACTCTGCAATTTCAACTGTCGTTGCCTTTGATGATACAGATAGAGCGATTCGTGCTGATGCTCTTGCGGTCCGCCACTCTCGCTGGACTCCTCATCCATTTCCAGTGAATCCTGATTTTGCAATTGTGTCAACGAGTGGCTTTGCTTTAGCTGCTGTGGTTGACTTTGTAGTGGAGGTTCTTGTTGTGTATGCTCTAAACGGCGACGGTGACCAATCAATTGCTGCCGGTAATTACGGTATTGCTCGCAATTTTTTTCAAACAGAAACCTAAATTAAAATTTGAATGAAATCGATAATAAAAACAAACATAATGTGAAAAGGAAAAATACATATTTATATATTAACGGCGCTGGAGTAACAGTTTATTATTTTTCCTGTGCGTTTGTGGAATAGTGGCACTTTTAAAAACTTAGTTGAAATTTCTTCGTAGTTTTTTTTTTTGTTTTTGTGTTTGTTTGTGTCCACGCTTTTCGTTCACATATCAGAAGCAAGTAGAGAATCCTGGGCGCAACGCCAAACGATTGCTAGGTCGTGCTGGTACATCCTTATTAATCGCTGTTTTTCTATTGATCCATATAAGGCAGTAGAAGTGGCATTTTCGTTTTGCATTTTATATATATGTATTCAAATTCACATCTCAAATAAATAACAAAATTGAATTTGTATCTGCTAACGAACACACTACTTTCTAATCAGCGATATGTTTTTCCTAGTTCATCACAGAGAAAAACTTAAAACGTAGGTGACTATAATTGTCCCTCAGTTCCGGGGTTACATGTATTGATTTTTTCGCACATAAAATTACTATCGCAATGTGTATTATAAGTTCAAATAATCTAACCTCAATCCAAACGCAAACCAAACAAAAAAAACATTAATATTAAATAACAACGCTGTAGTATAAGCCAAATGTACCAAATAACTATTTTGATTTGGATGGAATCTATTTGATGTTGTTTTTGTTGTGGTGTATATAAATAGAACTTGCAGTTTTACTTTTAATATGGATTTTGAGTAAGCAATTGGTATCTATAGTTAGTTGTTTAAGTCATTGTTGCTACAGGCAGTGAGTCGTCTGCCATACATGTCTACAAGCGTATGCAACTAAGCTACCAATAAAGTGTTATTTCATATTGTCCTTGCCTGTTTGTTTTCATGTTACACTATGTCTTTTTTTTTTGTTTTTTTTTTTTTTTTTTGCTCTGTTTTGTACCGTAAGTGTAAGAGACAGAAAAGAGATACATATTTGAAAAATGCAAAACAACAAAATTTACCACAATGCCAGATCCAACTCGTTTTTATGCAAACGTATTTTATCTTCATAACCATCACCATTTTCGCCAACCAATTCGATTAAATGTTCAACAGTTGTTGGTAACTGTATACTCGAGCAACTGTGGTCATTGTTGTCTGAAAAAACTACACAAAATCCTTTAAAATCAAGCTTAGCGTAGAAAGTACCAACAAATTTATGTATGTAAGTATTTTTCCTTCGAGATACAAGATTTAATGGTAAAAAAAAATGTACATAATATGTATGCACTTATGTTAATAAAAGTTTTCCAAAATTGTTGAAACATAATATACGTGTATGCACATATGTGCATGTCTACGTATGCAGAATTATTGACAACGCATGAGGAAGGCGCCTCAACTGTTAATTAATATCATGAAGAACCCCTTCTAAATGTCGAATGTGGACACTTTTAGAAACCAGTTAAAATTCAAATGTTTCATTGACTAAGTTTCAGGCGCTTTCACTAAGGGGATTTTTTTTGTTTCCATACATAAACAAATTGGTGTACTTTTTGCCCAACTACATTTGTGCAATAGTTGTATATTAATACACACCTGGACTTTGGTCGGAGTTTTCATGCTCGCGGTCCGCCTGTTGCTGTTCCTGTTCCTGTTCTTCCTGTCGCTGTTGCTGTGGCTGTGGCTGTGGTGGTGGAGGTGGTGGCGGTGTTTGTTGATTTAGCTGTTGCGTATGTTGTAATTTTGGTGGAAGTTGACTTTGCAATTGTTGTAACTGTCGCGGCAAGTGAGGTGGTGGCGGCGGAGGTTTTACTGAATCCTCTAATGTATTATGTATTTGCTGCATTTGCAGAAGCTGTTCCGTTTTTTGTTGCTGCTGCTGGAGTTGTAGGTGCTGATGCTGTTGTTGCTGTTGCTGCTGAATTTGTTGTTGCACTTGTAAAACTTGCTGATGTGACTGTTGAACACCGTGCGGCATTTGAATCGCTTCCACATTCATCTGTGGTTTAGGTATGGCATTTAAATCAAATTCCTTAGGTGCCGGTATAGTATTCAATTGCAAAGGCTCAGGCGCCGGTATCATATACAATGGACCCAAAGCCAAAGTCATTGGTAACTGAGGCGGCGGTGGAGGCGGTGGTGCAGCTGCGAAAAATGCCGCCGACATAGGATGTGGTGGTGGCACCGGTGGAGGTTGTGGCGGATGATGATTGAATAGAAAAGGTGGTTGGGTTGGTGGCAAAATATTTGCTTGCTGGACCTGATGTTGTATTGGTGGTTGTACTTGCGGTTGCAAGCTTGAAAGTGACGGATGTTGTGCTGGTTGTGGTGGGGGGAATGCACGCATGTGCTGCTGTGGTGATGGTGCCATGGATTGTTGTAGTTGATGTGGATGTTGATGGTGTGGCATTGATGGTTGTGACATAGATGTCATAATGGGGTGTTGCAATGTCTGCTGAATCCCTGATTGTGAAATGGGTGGCACAGATGGCGCGGCCGTTTGTCCCATTGGAAGTTGTCCTTGATTGAGTTCAACAGAAGTTTCATTTTGCTTCTGTGAATCTTCTTCCGCAGCAGATTCATTCGCCTGTGTTACAGAGGCTGGCTCTGTGGCTAGATCATCAGCCTTTAATTCTGGTCTAATATTAAAAGAAATTAAATAAATGTTACTATATTTGTTAGTTATATCATTGTTAAAAATTCCTTACGTCAAAGTTGTCTGAGTGGGTTTGGGCTCATGCTTTTCCAAAATTTTCTTAAAGTTTTCCAAAAATGACCCGTCATTGCAAAAAGAGTTAACCACTTTTGGTGGGGGTTGTTCTGCAACGGGAACTTGTGTATGCAACCGCTTTAAGCCAAAAGATATTTTTCCAGTTTTTCCTGTAAGGCTATTTAACGGCTTTGCGATAGCTGACTCGCTGCTATCTTCCTTCTTTCCTTTTACACATGCGTCGCTAATATATAACAATGGAAAAATTTGTGATGACAAACAATATTTTATATAACATATACCTTTTATCAATTGCAGCCGCCAATTCATTAGGAATTACACTATCGGCATTCGCTATTGAAGACGAACTCTCCACACTCTTATTATCTACACCGATAGCGGTATCACCCCCGCTTGTTTCTGCTTCATTTACGTCCGATTTCAACTTTGCCGCTAAACTCTGGGCAGCAGCCACCGCTTTGGCCAATTGCGCCGTTCTTTGTTTTTCCAAAATCTCCTGACGCTTCTTTGCTATTATTTCTTCTTGCTTGGTCATCTGAGCAAAGCGATCGATGCGTGCATTGTTACGTTGGGCCATCGTTGATACTTTTTATTTGGTTGTAAATATTATTCGGATTTTAAAACTTCTTAATAATACACTTTAGTGTTTTTCTAATAACTCGCATATGCTAAATATTTCGCATTCATTTTTTTTATTATGAACTCAGGAATTTCTTAATTACTTTTATAGGAAAATCCATATGCTTTATTTGCCTCTATACATAGGTGCGTATTAATATTATATGTATTCAGAAATCATACGCAGCTGCAATCTTATGTAAAACTTTTACAACCCGAAAAAAAATTTCATCCAACTTATCAATATTGGTTCAACAGAGGAAGATTATTTATCAAACGTCTTAATATTTCCGGCAATTTTCACAAAACTTTATATTATCCAATCCAGAATTAAAATGCAATTTTCCACTTGTATGCCGATGGTCGAATTTAAGAATGTACAATAAAAGACAGTGCAAATGTCATTTTATTGTGTCGAGAGATGCCAGCGCTGTAAATTATTAGTCTGTTCCAGGCGAATTTAATTAATTGGAGATACTTTGACAGCGAATTCAGCTTCTTTTATTCATTGAGCGAAGAGATTGTCAAAATTATTAATTTTACTTTTTGGAATATCATTTGGTTTTCTATTTAAAAACGTGAACGTGCCCTTGGTTCATACATGAATTCTCCTTGAAAGCCGAAACTATTTTTTTAATGCTGAAAATATTTTATTAAAATCACATTAATTAAACATCATCATCTTTTTCATTTATTCTTTTTTTTTACCAAAATACACAGGGAATCAAGATTTAACCCAAATAATTGTTTTATAAGAACACGTGCGTTTAAATTTTATTAAAAACCGATCGTTACCCAGTAGTAGCCCAAGTTTTAAATTTTGAATTGAATTTTGCAAACTGAAATGGACTCCAATTATTTATCAATGAGATGTTTTCTTTTGCCTAGCATTAATAATAATAATACACAATTCAATGAGATAAATCTCATTTCAATAATATATATTTATTTATATTCCAACAATTAATTCAGTTATAAAGGAATATTATTAGGGCAAGCATATACAGTTAATGCTTAACTGGATGAGTGAACTAAAAGTACTAGAGAGCATGAAGTTCTTTGAAGTTTTTCCAAAATGAACTATTTCTAAAAGTGTTTTTGAAACCCCACTAATTAAAATTACATTATTTTTTCAAGAAACAAAAATAAATATTCGTTTTTTTTTTTTATTCTGACAGAAAAATTTATAATTTATTTGATTTGCAGGTAAATCATTTTCGAAATTGATTCATAGCGTTTCTACTCTATAAATATATTGATCATACTGAGAAAGGAAATAAAGAGTTGCATATCTGGTCATCTTTGCTAAGAACTAAATAAAAACAAGGCAGAGAAGATCTAATGAAAGAATCACAATACCGTTAGTCATAGTTATAAATTTTGACAATCTACTGTTGTTTTTCTGATGTCGCGCATTCGAACCAAAATGACGAAATGATTTTTTATCAGTATATATACATATATATACCATATATTTAAGATTATGGCGTAGTGCTTAGATAGGAAACTCAGGTGCGTAATCTTCTTTCTCTCATTCTGGAACAAAAAAAAAAAGACCAAATGTTTTGCCTAATCTAAAAATTAGCATGTTTTGCAAAATCCATATTCCGATAGTTTTTAAAAAACCGAGCTCTGTACTATTTTCTTGTTTTCAACCTTCGAGCTTTACGATAGTGCACTCATCCAAAAAAGCTTATTTTTATAGGGTTTATATAGATTATATAAAATACAAGAAAATTACAATTATATGTATCTAAAATTTATGCTAACCTAATTAGACTACTGTATAGCATAATTTGTTAGTAGAATTTTTATAAGCCTTATGAATGACTGTGTTTCTTTTAAGTCACGAGAGTTAATAAAAATTTATTATATTTTTACTAGTGTCATATACAATTCATAATAAAATTGTGGCAGTGTATGAATTGCAAACAAAAAAACAGTATAAAATTAAACAATTATGACATGAGCAGGCAACTGAACATCAATATACTAATGCTAAAAAGTTACGTTATGTAAATTTCCGACTTACGTCCACTTTAAATTTAAATAGCTTTTAACAAGTACTATGCAAATGCTGTAATCATGCTCTCATTACAGATACATTTTTTTTTTGTTTAAGCATTACAATTTTCTATAATGAAAATCTTTAATTCGCGTCAAGTACTAGTAGACTTAATAAACTAAATTATTTTAATTAACACTCAGAAGACTATTTATACACAAATTCCTCTATATAATTTCATATATTATAAATTACATACATTTGAAACATGTTTCAATACAAGTAATTTTAAAAGTGGATATATGGATTCCAAATTTTCCGCACACGGCTTTTAAATCCTTTAATTTAATTGAATTTAGGTACTATTAATCCTTGGAGCATATCAAAACTATTTCCATCTGGTTGTACAGTTTCTATTACACCCTCTGTTGTTCGAACTTTTAGGTAGCCAATGTCATCAATACCAATAATAATTGCCCCTTGTTGCTTTCCCGACTTGTCACAGATATTAATTTTTTGTAAGCTATAATAAAAAGATACAGTAAATAGTATATGTATGTACTCGTATAGTCGCCGCTGAAGCGGTTTTTAGGGAATTTTTTTCCGAATTATTATTAGAAACTTTACTTACTCGTGTAGCCAATGCTCGTAATAAAGTTCATAAAAATAATCAAAATCACCCGACTTTACTATTTCCAGAAGTCTTTCAATCTCATTAAATGTTAACGCAATAAATTCCTCATACTTTAGTAAAGGTAAATTCTTACGACTCGTAGTATTATAGTCCCCAATCATGGAATTAATACAAGTCGTAGGTTTTTCGTTATTCAAATTAATTCCGCATCCTATATTTGCCATAACTTTTGATCCAGCCAATGTTGTCTTCACAATAAGACCACCTATCTTTTGTGTCCCATTTGCATAGATGTCATTTGGCCATTTTAAACGAACGTCAAGATCCTAAAAAATAAGAATTAAATACCTTCATATTTCAAATTACATACTTTTCGATTTATTAATAGACTAGTATTTCGTCGGAAAAATATTTTATAAATTAGGAGCGTACGTTAAATTTAAAATTAGCGGAATTAGATTTGCTATTAAACGTTGTTAATAATTATTTAAGTGAAGTGAAGGAACCTTTTGTTTCTGTTTTTAAATCCATTTTACATTAAGGATCCTCTTCCTAAATACGACTAAGAACTTTTTTTATAATATATTAATATTATTATATATGTTCATATTTTATTTTTTAATGCCAAATCAACACAGATAGAAGATAAAAGTTTAAATTTTATTCAAAGTGCAGTTCTGAGCTTGTAGAAATTTTCATCGAATAAATAAGTAGCAAAAGCTAAATGACTAAGAATTTTATGTGTACATTATTTATAATGTCTTAAGTGTAAGAAACATAAATATTGGGCAACGCTATTACTTCTTATGTTATTGCCGATATTCGCACAATCGTTGTTTTCGGACACTCGCTACTTTGGTTGTCTATAAAATACGACAAAATTTTCAGCACGAGTTTTTTGGAGTAAACTGAATTTTATTCTTCTTAGAAAATATAAATCGCTTAAAATCTCTTGATCTAAGTGGAAAAGTGAGTGAATTTTATGAAGATTAGTAATTAAAATTGCGTTTTATAGAAAATAAATTGGATAAAATGAAAATTTTCCTAAACTAAGCCAACGTCCGCAGTTCAACAAACAATAGTATAGATGCAAAAGATTTTCTTACTGGATTATCTTACAGTCGGAATCGGAATCTAATCTGAAAGTATGGGTGTCCGCTAGTAATTTGTGCTTCAATTTTGATTAAATTTAACTGAGATATTATGCTGCATCCGCGTATTTAAGTTGCAAATAGGTATATGAAAAATCGATTGTTGGATCGTAGTTTTTTTCGTTAGTGAGGCAAGCAGCCAACAGCAGACGATACGGTAGCAGTGACGAACAATATTGTATGCGGCAAAAAGCCGACAACGACCGAGGCCAAAGCAGCAGACAAAAAAACAAAACAGCAGATAATGACCATGGTGCAGTGTAAATAATATTTTTGCACTTTTACGTAGCAGAAATGTATATGTATTATCTACTTTATAAAATAAATTTACAGTTAGAGTGAATTTTAGATTTAATCTATAAATGAATCGTGAAATATAATTAGTTTTCTCCTTCAGAAACAAAACACAATTGATCCCATCCCAAAATGACGACGACAACTGCAGAGACAGCACCGTTGCCGGTCAATGATCTCGATGTTATACAAGACATGATAGACATCTCGGCAGATCGCTTAGAGGGCTTGCGTACACAATGTGCAACCAGCGCTACTCTAACTCAGCAGGAGATACGCAGCCTCGAAACGAAATTGGTTCGCATGTTTTCAAAACTACTTTTAAATAAAGCACGTCTGAATGAACGAATACCAGCTAGCGGCTTACCAAACACCACTAGTACTGAGCTTAAAAAATGGCTACGAGTTGTAGGTATTAGTCAAGAGTCATCTTATATTTGTCTCAACCGGTTGTCAACGTTGGAACAACTGTTAGAGCAGAGTGACGAAGAACTAAAGCAGTTGTTAGGCAACAATCCCAGTTATCGTACAGATGAAGATATTCGTCGACTAACTACAGCTATGCATAATTTACGTAAATGTAAAGAAAGCTTCGGTAATCTGGAGAGCGATATTTCAAACACTGCTACCCCTAATAACGCACTGAGTGAAGGAAAAGAACAACTAACTGAACAATTGTTTTGGGATTCATGGGATCGCCATCATAACCATCATCATCATCACCGTAGTAGTATGGGAAACATTGGCGTGACATCATCGCCCCGCGCACATCGAATAATTACAAAACATGCAAAACAACACCTCCACCAATCGGCTGGTAACAGTCGTCAGTCACCTTCCCACGATCACAGCTGCAAAGCAACATCAACAGCTGCTATTAATAATGTTATTGAAGACTCTTCAAGTATGCAAGGTTCTACTCTGACATTGACATTGACACCTTCACCACCTAATTCTCCATTCACACCCACTAGTTTGATTAGCACATTTAGTACTGCTTGTAGTGGCGGTAGTAGTGCCAATGGTACTCCACAACGTAGTAAGCCGGCGGGCACACCACCGCCAATGAAAAAACATCAGACTTTATTATCAAACTTGCAGCAGAATACTCCAACACATATTGCGAGTATCGGTCCTGCAATATCTGCAAGTCAACAAGATTCATCAATGTTCCCGCTATCCAAATCCAAGTCGAATGGATCACAATTTCGCGATACACCGCTTTCGAGTACAGGATCTCCTCAGTCCCACTCATTAGGGCAATCGACATTGGGAAGCTCAACAACAGCAAGCAACAAATCGACATTGCCTCGTTCACGTCTAAACACGGATCCAAGTCCTGACAGTTTTTCCTCGGCCAGTTCGGATGTATTTGCCGAAAACAATAATAATCCGAACAATCTACAGGTTCCAAGATCGCCCGGCACATTACCACTGGGCATGGGTCATACGATATCACATCGTTTCGCAAAAGTCTTCCAGGTTATGTCAACGTGTGATCTTTGTCAAAAGCAAATGTTTTTCGGTCTCAAGTGCCGAGAATGTAAATACCGTTGCCATAAAGACTGTGAACCGAATGTTCCGCCATCATGTGGACTGCCTTCAGGATTTGTAGACGAATTTAAGAAAACATTCAATGATCACGTAGGATTTTCATCGCTGCAGCATACGCAGACCGGTGCGAATACGTCACCCGTCTTAAGACCTCAACGTGATAGCAGTTCACCTGGCTCAAGTTGTAATAGTTCTAGTCCATCTAGTCCAGCTCTCTTCAATCTTCAACAACAGCATTCAACATCTCACCCTGGAAATGTCTTCATTCCAAGTAGTGGTAACATGATGAGCTCCTCTGGCGGTGGAAGTTCAAGTACCAGCTCCAATATGCTGTCTACGCCTTCCTCGTTCCACAAACAATCAAGCCAATTCAACTTTCCTGACGTAACCATTACATCTAATTGTAATCAGGCCATAGGAGGAACAACACAAACACTCTACTCATCGCAAAATAGTGGAATGGAATCTACTAGTGGCGAATTGATTAGTTTACAGCAATCTGACTATCAAGACAGCAATAATTCAATTTCTTCGTCAACCAATAAATCGAACCACGGTAGTGAAAGCTTATCCTACAGCACTGTAGTCACATGTGTGGGTTCATATCACAGCAGCAGCAACAGCTCGACAGTTATAGCTTCAACAAACAGCACTGTCCATTCCATCAGTTCAAGCATTGTCAGCAGCACCGGCTCATTCTATCCACGTAAGCTAAGCTCTGCCGGTGTCGATAAGCGTGATCCATTCACCGAACTTGCCGACACACATAAATCAAACGACAGTGATAAAACCGTTTCTCTATCCGGGAGCACTTCCGCCAGTACAGACTCAGACCGCACGCCTATACGGTTGGATTCAACAGAGGATGGAGATTCGGGTAATTGGCCTAGACAAAACTCATTGTCGTTGAAAGAGTGGGATATACCTTACAGCGACTTGCTCCTGTTGGAATCAATTGGGAAAGGACGTTTTGGTACAGTACATAGAGCCTTATGGCATGGTGACGTAGCTGTGAAATTACTTAAAGAAGACTATCTGGATGATGAACACATGTTAGAAGCGTTTAAATTAGAGGTAGCCAATTTTAAAAAGACTCGTCACGAGAACTTAGTACTATTTATGGGTGCCTGCATGAATCCACCGCATTTGGCTATCGTTACATCGTTATGCAAGGGCAATACGCTTTATACCTATATACATGTGCGTCGTGATAAATTCACCATCAATAGAACAACACTTGTGGCTCAACAAATCTCACAAGGTATGGGATATCTTCATGCCCGTGGCATCCATCACAAGGATCTACGTACAAAGAATATTTTCCTGGAAAACGGTAAAGTTATAATCACCGATTTCGGGTTATTCAGTTCGACCAAGTTACTATACTGCGAAATGGGACTAGGCGTACCGAATGGCTGGCTTTGTTATTTGGGGCCGGAATTAATGCGCGCACTATTGCCACGCAAACCGACTGAAGAGATTTTGCCGTTTTCGAAGGCTTCGGATGTTTATTCCTTCGGAACGGTGTGGTATGAGCTGCTCTGTGGGGAGTTTCCATTTAAATCACAGCCACCAGAATCGGTCATTTGGCAGGTGGGTCGTGGAATGAAACAAACATTGGCAAATTTGCAAACCTCGCGTGATGTCAAAGAAATACTAATGCTCTGTTGGTCATTCCAAGCCGACGATAGACCAGACTTCGCAAAATTGCTCTCACAACTGGAGCGTCTGCCCAAAAAACGCTTGGCACGTAGCCCCTCGCATCCTGTACAACTGTCGCGTTCGGCGGAATCAGTATTTTAATCAATATAAAAATATATGATAATTCAGCAATATATTATTAAGTAGCTTATAAGAGGAGAGTCGGTTATCCGAAGGAACTGAGACACATATAAAATTTGATGTTGAGCTATAAAATAATTTACTCTAAACTATAAGTGATTATAAGAGAAGGGAGTTTAAGTTACCACCTTTTTACCGTACGACCGAAAAACAAGATGGCAAAAAATTGTTATTGTAAATTAGAATTAAGTACTAAAAGCCATGTAGAATAATTTTAAATGCTGATAAGTACAGCAAACGCTACTTACAATTAAAAAAAAAAAGTTTGATGTGACTAATAACGTGATTGTATAACATTAATGTCTAATAAAATACAGGAAGAAATGTTTAAAAGTGTATTATTAAAATGGTTAAATCCAGTAAACCTAAATTAATTTATATCCTCAAAAGTACTGAGTACAAAATAAATTCATTTAATTTTTAAGATTGAATTTCTTGCTAAATGACGTATGTTTGTAAGATATATGTATGTAACCAATGATGACAAATGGTGTTGTTTCATAAAAATGCATTTGTAAATTAAAAAACAATTTTGATAATTACAAAGACTAATTTAGACGCTGTTATAACCAAAAGACGGTAATTACAATGAGATTTAACTAAAACAAAATATAATAAGGAGATACAACATTTCGTTCATAATAATAGTCTAGTTATGTATATACATACATACACCCTATCATTGTATAATAATATGTATGTACATACATATGTAACATAGTGAATAAATAATTGATAAGAGAGTGCTGAAAATTAAAAAGCCTATTGTTATCCGGAACGAAATTAGAACTAATTTAATTCTATTCCAATATAAAATGCCATAAGGTTAAATAAAAGAAACAAAAATTAACATTCTGTTTTCATTTCAATAGAAATGTAGTTACATATGTATATTCTATTTCTTAATAGTGTAGAAACAGTTTTAATATATGTACATATAATCTGTATTATACAAGAGCAGAGAGCGAAAGTGGCGCCGTGAATGACGTAAGGAAAGACTACTATAGGAAATTAGAACGTTTAGTTAACTGTTTACTACTGGCTACTGAAGCAGAGCTTGGAAAATTAACTCAAGACTAAAACCGTGAGATTTCCAAACTTTACTTTTCGAAAGAATTACTCCGATGGCCAGTCAAAACCTTTAGCTCCTACCAATCTTTTGGGGTTCAAGATATAGAAAGCCACTTACACGTTGACCTAGACGGGGTTAGGTCGCCGAAAAGGTGACAGGCCTTGGCCGGATAAAATCTGGGTCGACTCCGGTGCGTAGAACCGGCTATCGTGAGAGTTGCAGCAGGCCGCGACAGGAAACCTCCTGATGTCGCCGGACATCACTTGCACAACGAAGCATCTATGCATATTGAGATGTTACCGCAGGGAGCACCCCAGTAGACACCTAATAGAAGCTGAACCTCCACCTAGGCACATCAGAAAGAGAGTACTAGACTTAAAGGACACAATCCAGCAACATGTACAACAACCGCTGGGCAGAACGGCGTACCGACAAGCACTGAACGCCATTCACCAGGAGTCAGTCAACATTTTCAATGACTCCCTTCCAGTGAATGGCGTACTCGGAGAAAAACCACCATCAACGAGCTCGATCTGCCTCGAGAGACCCGCGTGACCCTGACACAAGTTAGGTCTGGATATTGTAGCAGGTTAAACTCCTACTTATCCAGACTAGACCCCAGCATACCCAACGTATGCCCTGGGTGTAGAGAGTCTCCGCACGACACTAACCACCTCTTCACATGCCCTCTCAAACCAACTCATCTAACCCCCCTCTCCCTCTGGTCCAACCCCGTCGAAACAGCTCGTTTCCTGGACTTCCCACTAGATGACCTCGGCGACCTCGGCGACTTAGCGAACCGCTACAACAACAACAACACTTGCGCCCATGTCAAAGGAATGGCGAAAAAAGCAACTTTCTACAAATCATTTATGAATTCATACAGATGACCCTTCAAAAAGTATCAGCTTGGACCACCCGCTGCAGATTATACGTCCATTTAGACGAAATAGAACTGGTTGAACTGGTAACCTAAGAATGTCTGATCAGCTTCTTAAAAGTATTTTATCCCAATATATTAGTAAATCGCTTACTTTATTTAAAAAGTCATGCTTATGGGTTAGCATTCGACCAGCATTCAAAATTGTAAATATTTTTTTTTTATTCCTCTCATGTACGAGTATATATATTACATGAAATGGTAACTTTGGTCCAAATTATGTACATAAGTGCCAAAAGAAGAAGAGATCGACCCTTCAAATTGTATACCGATCGGGAAAAAATGAGGAGCTAATTTGATTTAACCATTCCATCTGTTTGTACTTGACCGTCAGTTTTTGAAATATATTGACTAACCTTAGTTTACATATGTGCTGGTGCATTTGTACGATCAGATTTGAGATGTTGGATAATAATTTAGTCGAAAAAGCATTTGCAAGCGTTAGATTTGGTATTCTTATATGTACATAGAAATAAGCAATCACAGGACTGCTTTGATCACAATCATATAACCCTCACGCAACCGATTTCTTCAAATACGAAGTATTTCGGCAAAACCCATCCATAGAAGCATCAAGATGCGAGAGAATTAGTATTCCACACATGTATACACAAAAAACATTAACACCGAAAATTATTGAAATTTATCAGATATTAAAACTATTATTTAATCCTAAAATAAATTTAAAATTTTCATGTAATATAAAGAGATTTCAGCATGGCCCAAGACAGCTCATCTTTCTTGATTATCCATCGGCAGGGATTATCAACTCTTTTGAGTGTCTTTCTGACATGAAAATGGTAGCTTTCGTTAAAAATCCTTTATCCGTTCCAATGCGGATATAAAGATTTAACCATATACACATATTATATACTTATGATAAGTTAAGATGGTTTTTAACCATCAGCAATTTTTCTTATAAGTTTCATACGATTGCAATAAGAGCCTCAAGCTTACCTTATAAGTGGGATTTCCTCTCAAGGTGTTCACCATAGCCAACCCGATAATGTGTTGCACTAAAGGCAGTCTTTTACCTAGTTGTGAGTCTAGTGACAAATGTAATTGCAATGAAAACATCGCGCAACCCATGGGACTTAGCCACTGTAGATAAAGAGAAAGAGAATGAGATTGAGATATATGTATGTGTGTAGAATAAAAATAAATAAAATATGTTTTCATATTTATTCATTAGTTCGAACATTCTCACCTGATTATTGCTGCGTCCGACGCCTTCTGTCTGTTGGCGCACCAAAACAGCTATACCGTCTGTTAACTCCAAATCGCTTACTATATTCATACTTGTACTTATAACTGGCGCATATATGACTAGGCGTCCAATGTAGTTCGTTTTTAAATTCTAAATAATCAACACAAAGCGTTTTCTTTAAATATAATAAAATATATAAAAAATAATACCTATGTATGTAGCCTATGTAAAATTATTTATGAATTTTGTATGTATATTCATCAGGGCCGAGAATAAGATGCCTTTCGTAATTTGGTGCATAAGTAAGCAGGTTATTGCTTAGACTAGTAGAAACGCCGCTCTTCTCTCCGAAAAGGAGAGCCAAGGATCGACCTAATCGTCTCTTTTCTTTTTTAGGAAGTGAACCCATTTATCTCAAAAAATTTCATATTATTATGCTTCGAATGCGGTTTCCCCAAAATTGGACCTGGGACCAGGAAAGCGATCATCGAGGGATTGAAAAACAGTCAGAAACAAATGGATATGAGCAGAGATCGTGCATAGGTATGTTCACTTCTCAATGTCATTATTCAGCGGCAGTGGCGTACAAGCTATGCTTATACGCTCAGCTGGAGTGAGAGTAAGCGTAGAACCGTATGTTGCGTTTGACTTACTTCGAAGCATTCATATTGACTTTTTCGTGAAAGGCTTCGAGCAGAGAAGTGGTATTAAGATCAAAAATATATTAAAAAAGAATAAAAGTTTGGCAAAATACAGAAACCTTCTACACCATGTGGCCGGATCTGCTAGTATATATACATACATATATAATATATTATTTATAATTATTAATATTAAATATTATTCACAACATATTTACATCAAAATAATCCACTGTTGAAAAATCATCCGGACAGGAATGTATAAGTATTGGAAGCACATTTGTATCAGCACTTTTGGGCTTATCGCCTTTGTCGCAGAACTGCATGGTCAACTTGGGTGTAGTTATAATGTTGCTGTTGGCTCCGGACTTTTTAATTTTCTCCAATAATTCGAATTTTGACTAAAAAATGTGTTGCAAAATTAATGAAAATATTAAGACCAATATTTGTTGTCAAGAGTGATTACTTTTTTTTTTTAACTTGTGAACTCTCTAAAAGGAGAAATAAATATTTCCTTAATTTATCAATAAATACTATTTAATTCTTCTACGAAAGGTTTTTACAGTTCACAAATCAACATGTTGTCATTGATTCGAAGAGTTTTTAAACAACTCCTGTCACATACTTATTTATATACATACACGTATGTACAAAATATACTCACTTCGTGCCTGCCAAGAAAATACGCTTCTTGATAAGTACATTTGCCATCTTTATCGGATTGGATTTGTTGTACGCTTACATCCAAATGCTTTCTCAACAGATCAGCTAAAATTTCCAAACGAACATTTTCGTTCTGTTTCAAGATATTATATTTTGATTCATCCATTTCGAACTGCGAAGGGCTCGTTTCCAAATGTACCTGAGATATCGGAAAAGATAAATAAATAGAAATTCAATTATTGAGTTAAAAGCTGTTATTGAATGTGGAATATGTATGTTAGTGTTAAATATTCACAAATTCATATGATGAGAGAGAGTTAGTTTGTGTGTAAATATGTATTCTCTGTTTTAATTAAACGTTCTTTGGTGCCGAAGGAAAGTTGGTATAGCTGGTCCACTTATGAGAAGAAATCATAGGACCCAACTAGGAAGAAGAAATGTTGTCTTCGGTCATGCCGAGGTCTTTATACCCTTCACAACCATACCGAATTTGTGGTATTTCATTTTGGAATTACATTTTAATTCTCATATATAAAAAATTGGTTGCAGGATTTTAATTATTTTCGATGACACGTGTGTAGAATACCGAAATTCCCGCTTTTAGACATTTTCTGACGGAGTTTTGACTAAAGCCTCATATATGAATAAATCGGTTACATGGGAGCTAATTGTTATAGTTCTTCGATCTCATAATTTTCTTCTTCAATGTGCACATAATACCAAATTTCTTCCTCTTATATGTTTTTTCACAAATTTGTGACCCGAAATCTTAAATCGTAGAAATGGTTTTATAATCCTCCGATCTGGCTGGTTTCCATCATAGATTGTTTAAATGTACCAATGCATACTCGTACCAATTTTGGTTGAAATATCTCAAAAATTGAGAGAGTAGTTTGCGTACAAACGGACGGACAGACGGGCATAGCTATATCCACCCAACTCTTCATTCTGATCATATAGGTATACATTTTTGTGGAGTATATCTCTTCACCTTCGGTTATTTACATACTTCATGTCTATGAAAGGTATAATAATCCTCTGGCCAATTTGAACACAAATGCATTTGATTGAAAATAGTTCTACTTCTTCTATGGAGTGTTCACGGCTTACGTTATAATAGCGGAATCAATAATAGTGGGCCAATAGTTTCTTCTTTTACATGTTCGGTGCGACTTGGAGACACCAGGTGTGGAGTTTTTTCTCTACTTCCTCCAACGCCAACTTTCAAATCAAAAATGTTTTCATCCATCCGAAAGGTGGCTTACGTCAGCACAAGAATGCTGCTATAGACTGATACCTTCTCTATTTAGTTCTGTAGCTCTTATTACTTTCCCCAGCGTTAAGTTAAAAGAAACCACATGACGAAGAGCCACTTTGTCTGAAGTCACATTAGGTAACGAACGCTACGGACAAGCCCTGCTCTGGCGCTGCTTTTAGAGTTTACACAATCGTCTAAGTTTTGCAGGGAATCCAAATGCAGACAAAGTGGTTCAAGTCGATTTTAGAACGCCGGAGACTAAGCACATCTAAGGTATTGGAGATGTGACGTCCGTCTATCACAATCGGATCAAAACTACAGTGGCATTATCATTGAATTTAACGGCGGTCGGGCAACATACCGCTTACCTCCCATATAGACGACTTTTTGCTACAGACTCTTTGTTCGCTTAAAATCAAATTCATAAAGCAATTACGATTCGAATTCAACTATTCCCTCCAAATAGTCGAAATAAACATTTACTTAAATTTGCATCAGTCTTAAAGCAAGCGATTCGCTACGTGATTCAGCATAAATCCATTGTAAAAAATTAATTCATTCAACCTTGGTCGTCAAGCCATATATGTACAGAATTTTAACATTTCTCTGTTTTTCGCACAAGAATACCACGAAAGAGCTCTGCGCACCCTATGTTGTGCCGTGCTCGGTATTTTCAATGGCAAAATGGACAAAAAATAAAGTGCTCTTGGCAACAAAGCGGCAGGAACCAATGCATAAGGTGCATGCTTCAGCTATATGAGGGAATTTGGTGGAAGTTGAGCGTTCCTGCCGATGGGAATCTAAGAGCGTCCCGTTAAATCCATTAGACAGAGCGCTGCACAATTTCCACCAAATATCGAGAGATGGGCGGTCTCAGTATCACATATAAAGTGTTGGCTAGTGTAATGTGAAAAAAAATCAGAGCCCACTAATGAAGACCATATATTTACTGTAAGCAATAAAATGATTGAGTCACGTCCTGTCTTTATCCGTTTCGAAGAGGAGGCAGATAGGCCGTAATGAGACATTTAAGACGCCGAATTGAGAAGGGCCTCTCTCAGCTGTTCATTAACAAACGAGGTTGTGAACAAGATGTCTCTCTACCGTGTTTCTGGTTGGTCTGGTCTCCTAGTGAATGAGTTCAGGATTGAATTTCGTTTCTTTAGGTAAAACCAATCAGACAAGGTCCAGTGGCTTAGACTAGTAAAGTATTCAAATAAAAAAGACTAGAAGCAGAAGTCTACAGAAGTTTTCGAGAGAAATGATTTGAGGGAGATTTATTTAGAGATGACTAAACCGCAAACAACAGAACAATAAGCTTCAAGTAGACAATGTTCCGACTTTTAAAGATTTCGAGACACCGAATGGCTTTCTATTGCTATCTCAGCTATAATCGTGTAAGAGATAACCACGCCAAAACGGTCGATTGGATCTGCTGATAGCTAGAGACCGAACTTCAAGGGCTACGAGACATACACAGCAAACTTCATCCAAATCATATTGTTATTCATTTTGGTAGTTTTATCGTGGCTTTTTAACTTTTAACTCACTTATAAACATACATGTGTATGTAAGGAAATAACGTTAAACCTGAAATGTATTTCAATATTAAAAATAAAAATATATGTTTTTATGAAAAATGTATGACATACATAGGAAAAGCTAATTACCTGGGAGAAAACCGCACATCCGCCACTTTTCACACTGTTCGCCAACAGCAAGCTGGGTGTGTTCCATGTTTCCTCAGTACCGAGCACTTTCACGTCCAGATTGTGCATTTCGCCGTGAAGATCCTGGAGTTCGACAGACCTTGGACACACTAGAGCTCTAAGGGTCGATGTTTTTTGTTTTTGGACCACAAAAATGTATGTACGAAGAAAAATTCACAACACATACATACACCAACAAGCAAATGGAAAAGGTTGAAGAAGGCAAACAGAAAAAAACAGGCAAAAAACTCAAGATATGGGAGGCAAAGTTGAAAAGGAATCATGTAGGGAGGAGCGAATTGGAAAGGAATTCAAACAATTGGTTCAACCAAGAAGTAAGTATGTATTTTATAGATAATTTATTAATAATCACAAATTTTAAGAGAAACAAATTTTTTTGAAACATTCGAAACCCCATTTTTTGGACAAAAAGACAACGAGAAATAGTTGGAAATGATCAAAGGATTGTGAGTGGCATATGTATATATGTATGTATGTATGTATGCATATGATAAATAGTACATATCGAAAACAATTGAGTCCAGTTAACAAAGGCAAGGCGTCAAGCATTACACAAATGGAACAGGCGATGATTTATTGTTAGTTTAGGCGCAAAAATGTAACATAAAATTAGAGAAAAGAATTAAAGGAAAAAATAAATTAGTAAAACATACTAATATTTAAGAAAATAATTAGTCTGGCATGTGAGCTTTGGTCCAATTTTTCTTAATAATCCGTCATTGGTAAAATCCACCAGTGTTAAGAACAAGAATTTATAAAATTATGCAAAACTGGGGTGATAGTGAAAGATGCCTACTTCTTCTAACCCTCAGAATATATCAGCTTATTTTGCCTACGTAGTTTTTCAATTAAAAAAATTCTGCAAATCATATTTAAATCGTGTATTCAAATCGAAATTCTTAGATTTTTGAAAAGTCATTCGCTTTCCATTGGTGCATACGCGGTTTGAATTGAGTAAAATGTGCAAATTAAGTTATGGGACACTGAGATGTTTAAAACCATGACATATGTACATATATTATTAAAAATACATTTTTTTGGTCTTATCAGTATACATACAATAAAAATAGAATATTGATAAATATATATGTATGTACATATATGAATATTGGAATTGTTGTCTATATTTGCGAAAATATAAAGTCGCTTAAATAACACGAGAAGTTAACGGTAAAGATTTTGCTGCATATATATTTTGCACGCGAAATTTATATGTAAGTTATGTAGCACTATGTATTTGTATCATATATATTAATATATATATATATATATAGATTTATAACCAAATAAGCTCAATTCCAATGGGAAAACAGGAATAAATAATTATGTATGTGTGTGTGTTTGCTTACATGGTTCAGATAGGTTCTAAGCTTTCAAGACTAATAGTTTGTAATGTGCATATACATAAATACATATATGTGCATGTATTTAATATGAATTCAGGTTAAAATATGTTTTTTAGTTATCTATTCAGAAACTTACGGTTTCCTGGTTGTAGACTGTGTAGCGTCATCGCTATCCGTGGAAAAGTTTTTCTTAACTGGCGAAGGCTGATAGCAAAATATGTGATGCATCATTTTTATTTTTTGCCATTTATCGTATGAGAATTGCACCAGTTCGTTTTCTCGCACCTAAAAATAATACAATTTTTACACAATATTATAGATGTGCATGACGCTATTGATAAAGTAGTTTGAGGGAAATATGTCCTAATAAGAAAATCAATGAATGACTAACAGACCAATCCAATAGAAAAAGAATATAGAAATCTCTTTTGGCAAAACCAATTATAAATCGGATAAACGAGTTAATGAATGATTGCAAAGGTGGGGAGCTCTCTTATATATACTAAAATTTGACAGACAAATTTTGCATTACCTCAGCGGTTCGATAGTTGGGCAGAACAATATTTAAAATATCCGAACATAGCGACAGCACTTTGCCTCCACACAAAAAATAATCCACAAGTATCGTACCAATATTTGTTGGCACATTGCCACAAACCACCAAAAGCCCGGTATTTTCCATCCAATATTTTTGTGTTAACTGTTGCAGGGTCATTGCATAAATTGTGTATCTTAAAAAGAAAATGTAAAATCAATATAAATATGAAAGTATTATATATGTATTCATATATCTATTTATGTAATCTCTTTAACCTTTCTCTATCTAAAATGTTTTTAAGTGTGTTGAGCGCGCCCTCACGAGAACTCGCACTTTCAGAATATACAAATACATTAGTTGGTTTACATGGAAGAGCATTTTTAGTTCTTTTTAAGCTGGGCCGCTTTGAACCAGCATTGCCAGATGTGCTTTCTCGAGGTTTAGCCTCTGCAGTGATTTCTGGGGGCTGCGACTTTTGGTTTTGTGCCGAAGATGTTGAGGCAATTTGTGTGACCACCTTGTTTTGATCATTTGATTTGCTCGCAACAGTGGTAGATGGTATTTTAGCTCGGGATGTGGTTGTTGTTATAATTGCAGCAGCTGCGGAAATAGTGATTGGTGGATCGGGTGGAAGTAGCGGTAGGATACCGGTTGATTTTACTGCAGACTTTTCGTTTAATAGTTCAGGTTTTGTTGTACTGGTGGAAGACTCTGAAACCTAGAAGATCATTTATTTTAACAAATGCACACATACGTATTTATACAAGAAAATACCTTTGTAGTTTTGAATCGGCTCTCAGCTGAGTTACCACCGGAATTTGGGGTTGCCGAAACCGGCTTTTTGATTTCAGTTGGCTTAGCACGCATTTTGCTCAATGGCGAAATTGTTTTGACATTAGTTGTGGGTTCAATAGGCACTTTTGTCACCATGGTGGATTTACTAGGTGTTGCAGTTGAAGCTGTTTTAGCACTGGGTGATGTGGTTGAAGACTTTTCAGTAGTTACACCATCTGCTACGTCAACTTCTCCTGAGCTATTAGGCTTCGTCTCTTCTTGAAAACCAGCTGCTTTTTGCTCGGAAGGAATAAGATCTGGCTTTATCACAGCACTGCCAACTGTTTTACCCTCAACACGTACTTTCTGGCACTCGAATTCAGTAGCTTGATGTGCCAATACGCTCAATGCTCGTAAGTGTTCCAAATGCCGTAGCCACTCTTCATCGCTTAAACGCTTTTCGTTATGACGAACAGGTTTCCGCATGTGGCTGGCCAGTAGATTTAAAGGCTGTGGCTTGCCCTCGTATTTAATAGCTAGTAAAAGTAATGAATAACGTCTTAATTTACCTTAAAGTACCACCGATTGCAACATAATAAATATAAAATTTCCAAACGGATTTACATACATACGCATGTATTATTAAATTAGCCTATATATTCGAATATAATTTATTTCCAGCTTACACTCAATCCTCAGTAATTGTAGTTGATCGTTTATGAGAAAATTATTTTGTAAATATGTGGACAACAACAATTTGGTAAAGTGTTCAACATCAGTCTCAATTAGCACAGCAAGATGTGAGTCAACTTTCCATGCTATTAGCTTACCAAAGTTTTCAATCTGAAAAAATTAGAAAAACCAATTAGACAAATGCATGCCACTGACTTAAAGTTTGTATAACGTGATTACTTGATGATCTCTTGACTCAATGTCATACGAAATAAATTAACAAGTTTTCCATTTTAAATCAATACACAACATTTTTATACATACCCGCACATAATCCGTGTAATCGTGGTTATCATAACTTGGATGTACACCAGCTTCCAATAGAAGATGCAAAATTTTATCTTTCTTCAAAGTAGCAAAATGCTCTGATTCCGCCAATTGGGTTGACGAATGCGCAAAAGGCAGCAACTTGTTTTCTACAGTCGCTGGGTTTTCATCAAAAGATATCCAAGGCATTAGTTGAACTACCTGTACAGGTGATAAACAACAACCGCGATGTACGCCACTAAGCCAAAGTATTTCCGAAACACGGGCAGCATTACGGTTCTGGCATAAGTCCGACGCGGCCAATGTGGGATCTCCAATTATAATAAAAATATCCAAAGTTTTAAGCAAATAAATATGCTCTCTTCGGTTAATATTTATTTTTTTTTTTCTTACCGAATCCATCATCACTTCCTGTTGGCAAGGTATAAAAAGATATGGTCGTGTTTAGAGCCAATTGCTGGCCTATCTTAGCACAGACGTTCTTCATGCGCCAAGACTGCATAAATGTAGCAGTCGCATAGTACAAGGTAAGCATGTTGTGACTTTACGAGGATTTAAGGAAGAATAATATTTAGTTGTACTTTAAATACCTGGTACAGCACTTTTGTTGGCAAAGTTATTTTATTTAAGGAACTATTTTATGAGAGATAATTATATTATTTTAAATCGTCTTAGCACTGCACAACATCATGATACATATTTCGGGTCGATTAAAGGAAAATAATAAGGTTTCGTAATGACGTTATTTCCGCTTGCACTTCAGTATAGATTTTTGGATGTGCTATATATTTTCATACTTGTTCATTTATCCGTTGCCCAATATGACTAGATGACTGCGCTTGTGAAACCTCGCTCACAATTTTCGCTATTTAGTTGTTCGGTACCTATACTACACACTTTCCTAACACATCGCAATAGCAATACGTATATTTATTTTTGTTGTCCTCCACTTGACATTTTCGCATTTTAGAACACAATTCTACAAAGTTATTTACGTGTTTACTGCAACAAACAATAGTTGTTTTTGTCTTTTATTCTTATCACCAAAGTATTTTTCTTCATTCAACCAAGTTGTCATTTTCACCGGTCATGCCAGCAGAGAACGTAATGTAGCGAAAATACTCAGTGTGAATGTCATGAAAAAAGAAGAATGACAACTCCAACATGTTCTAGAGCGTGTGTATTGAATATTCGTTATTGAGAACATTAATACGGAGACTTTTAGAGAGCTTCGTGGTAACGTTGGTGTAGAGTATTACAGTAAATTGCGCGTTACAGGAGAATAAACTATGCGTTTATGAATAGTATGTTTACATTAAAGAATCAATAAACAAATTTCGATGACTTTTATTTAACAATCCAGTGAGCGAACTCGAAGGTTTTCAGAAATCATAGAGGTTAATTTAACACGAGCGATACAATTTTGTCGGAAGTGGGATTGTTGAATTAATTCCGAAAGATAAAAACAAAATTGTAAGGGTTCAAGATTTGAAGTCTAAGCAGCTAAGGCAATAGTTGACTAAACGGATTTTTTGGACCGTTAGAAAACAATTAGAAATTGTGGTTGGAGGAAGAAAGTTGTCGACATGGATGACCAATAGTTGAGGAAAACAATGACGCCGCTGGTACGATGAAGAACGTAGTAGTAAAGGTTGAGGTCAATTCTTCGGTCATTTACATGAACATTCTATCGAGTATAATTCACAAAAGAATGAAGAGCAGGCTGCCCACATTTCACACATTTCAAACAACCAAATAGTAGAAAAGTGGGAGACATAACTTCTCTAGTAGCTACAATTAGAAAAATACTTGAATACAGACAACGAAGGTCTCAGTTGTAGACCAGGGCAAAATGAAAGAGATTGAAGGCATCTCAGGAACCCCCAATTGGACTGCTCAACTAGAATGACTAGAGCCAAAACTCCATTCTTCGATGGCAGTCTTCAAGCTTCAGCACGAACAGTTTTCCCAATCTTATAAATCGAGACAAAAGTCATTTCCATAAATCCGAAATAATCAAAACACAATATTAATTTCGTTATATCATTTCACTCGCATTTTATTTAGTTATTTGAAGTATATGTATAATGTATACGTAAAACTAACTAATCACGTACGGTTTGCTGTATATTAAACGCTTTAAATATTAGTGATTTTAGCGGAGTATAGAAAGTGCATAACTTATCATTCCTTTCTTATTATCTGACCGATTTTTCTCAAATACTATGTACTTAAACGACAAAAAATTATGTTTTCAGAACAAAAATGCTTGAATACCATCTTTACGCATTGTATATGTATATAATGTATTTTTATTCTTCTAAAACGTTCAAAACATTGGAAGTTACTCTTTTTTCGTAATATCATTAAATTTTAGTTATTTATAAATTACTCAATATAGATAATTATTAACACACTTGCGCGTAACGTGACAGGCAAATCATTGACAAATAACTATTAATGAAATAAAAATAATACAACAAACGCTTATTGACTTTAAATAGGTGTACTCGTTTATGTCGCATTCATATTATTTTACTCGTTTTTCGAATAATTTTAATTTTGTTGCAACATTTTAAAATTTAAAGGCAAAACATTTCATAAGTAGTTAGTTATTTTAAATAAGCGCCCAATTATATATTATATATATTATTATATTATACATACATCATTTAATCAAGCAATAACTAAAGCTACATAGTGTGTGTGGAACAAATTCAATAGTTTAATTATATATAGAGATTTAAGCGTGTGATGTGGACGTTGCTTGTTTGCACTTACTACGGTCTTAAAAATTAATAAATAGGTTTTGCAATCGATTTTGATTTTACAATATTGGAAAAATGTCGTTTATGCTGATATGATAACAACTGTTAGTTAGACTACAATATTAATATGTTTACGCAGGACACATTAAAGTACATTAGTGAAGCTATTGAAGCTCATAAAGTACGTGCACATACATCACATGTTTAATCATATCTTTTCAAACATACATACATAAATTTTTCAATTACAATCTATAAAAAGGTGTTTTTAAAGATATCTGAACAAATGTTAAATTAAATTCAATTCCAAGTTGCAAAACCACTTTTTCCAATTACTGAGATTATCGAGACATCACTGTGTAGGGTTGTGAACACATACTTTATAAAAATGGTTTGTTATTTTGTAGAAAGACATTTATAAAAGTTATTTTTTAACGCATATGCATACGTATATAGCATAATTTATATTTAGTGCATTATTTTTGGGCATATCATATTTGTATTCTATTCTTATCAATATTGGTATAGTTATGTGACACAGATACAATAATACATTTCACAAAATTCCCGAGAACGACCGACCAGCTGCTTATGCCATTGGGATATTGTCGGGTACATACTCTATGAAATTCGCTGGAAATTGACCTTGCTTGCCATTAATTTCACCATAAAGCCAGTCTTCATTGATTTTGTATAATATGGTGACAATGTCATTCTCCTAAACAAATAAAAATCAGATGTTTGTTTAGAGTGCATTTTTGAATGAAAAAGTTAATAAATTTTTTGGTTCGCTTTTTAAATTAGTTTCTTACCCTCAAAGCCAAATCGCCGTCATATTCTGCGGGGAAATTGTAAAGACATCGTACACGTAAAGATTTAGTCATAGCACTCTGTTGTAAAGTTTCTTGCGTACTACTTCTGACGGTCAGCGCTGGACCTTCAGCTTCCAATGGTACTTTGACGTCGATATAATTTATTGGAAAGATACCCTCACATCCAGAACGCGTACGGCCTCGGTACCATTCTTCGCTCACCTGTTCTAGAATATAGATTTTCTCATTCTCCTGCAAATAAAAAGACAAATAAAATATAAATATGTACTTCGTACAATAATGCCGTTTCGTACGCACCCGAAAACAGAGATCCCCCTCTTCGACACCATCAAAGTCGAATAGTGCTATGCCATGTGGTCTAGTTTCCTCGGCGCCACAATTGTAGCCAAAGCCTGCGGTAGCTGTGCCACTCAATTGCAACGCATCCACTTTGCCCGATATTACGTCGAGCAATGACACACCACTCGGTGCCGATGGTGGTGCACATTTCGGCATTGGTGGAGACGGCGGCGTCGGTGGATTATCATTAGCACCATGTGTAAACTGTGGTTTCGATAGCAACGGCGGTTTAGGTGCTCGTGGTTTTTGCGATATTTTCGGTTTAATAATCGTTGGTACAGTCAGTGAGGGTGTTGGTGGCAGAAGGCTCTTGCCATTACAAAGCGGATTGTCGCTGCTGGCATGAATGCGCGAGTTTATTGTGCTGAGATTGCGCACTGGTGCAGTACCGATACTATTGGCAGCCGCAGTGCTGCCATAAATACGATCGGAAGCAGTATTGAAGCCGTTATCGAAGGCTTCCCACGGATCAAGAGGACTGGTAGTTGCTGGACGGCTGCGCGCACTGAAGTCATCCTCAAAGCCGCTTTCTGGTTGTGAGACGCTACCGTTGTTGGGTGAACTGAAGTTTGAATCAGAACTGAAACTATCGACGCTGAGGCAATCACTGTTTGATTTCTGTGTGAAGGTCGGCGAACTTGGTGGCGAGTCAAAGCTGATAAGTTGTGCTTCAGTTACGCCGGTGGCGTTTGGGGCTCCTGCGCTTGCAGTGCCTAACGACGTTAGCGATGTGGACGAATAACTACTGTTCCAATTAGCCTGCCAACTGTTGTTGCTGTTGCTCGCATTTGTGGCGCTCCAGGAATTTGTGCTATTGCTGCTACTAATATTTGTTGTTGCCACTGATGTATTATTAGCAGCATAGATACCACTGCTGACACCATATATTTTATTTGCTTTGTTGTTGTTACTACTAGTGCTGCTGCTAATGTGTTTCTTGCTACGGAAAATGTTACTTAGCAATTTGGTCGGATGCGTGATGGGCGGTTGTGGCGCTTTATGGCCAGTCACCTGAACTTTGGGTGGTGGCGGTCGTGGTGGTGGAACTCTTTTGGCATTACCATTCGTACTCGCACTAGATGCGGCTAACGAATTGGCGCCGAAAGGATCGTCCTCCCAATTGGTGGTGGGCGTGTATCGTGCTTGTGGGAACTTTCGTGTTATCGCTGACTGATTACTGTTATGCACGTTAAAGCTATTATAATTATTGTTGCTACTGAAACTATTGCTGCGATTAGTCGCGGACATTGTAGCGGCACCTTTCGGCGGAGGCGGTAGATTAATGGTCATTTTCTGTACTCCACGATTATGTTGTTGTTGTATTTGTTGTTGTTGTAATTGTAAGCGTAGCTGTTCAATGCTTGCATTGGCCCCGGCGGCAGCATTTTGGCCACGCGCCACCGGAGGCGCAGGGGCTGGCCTCGACGGAATCGTCATACTAATCCTTTCAAATGTGTTGTTAACGAGCTGCAAGCAGAATGGAATGGTGAATGAGTACACATATCAAATCAGAAAACGTAATAGATGTTTGTATGTACATACATTTGTACACAAACGTGTGTGAATTTACAAATCAAAACAAAACACTCTAAAAATAATTAATAGGGCAATGTATTAAGAGCAGTCTCTTAGCTATTGTACCGAAATAAGTATGTCATACGTTAAATGCTTTATTCGATTTCGCAGTTCTCTGTGAAAAAAGATTGTGTTCACTTTGATATTGTTGGCGTTGAACTGTTGGCTGTATTGCAAAATTTCGCCCATTTAACTTTCGAGCTGATAAGAAGAGACCGACAATGATGACGTTCAAAACAAGCTGAAATAAAATCAAATAAAACATCCCAATCGGAAAATGGGCAACGCGAATGAATTCGAATGTACGAAATCTTGCCTGTCGATGAAAGCGCTGCCTAATGTGAACGACTCCAAAACATGGGAAAACTATCCTCTAATAATCTGCTAAAAACTTATCTTCATTCGTACTCGCCACATTGTTTTTGCAAAGCATTTACTGTATTAAGAGTAATATATTCTGTGATGTGTAAATGGTATGACGATAATTGCCTTCCGCCATCACTCTATATTGGCTTTTCCAGGAGGGATAAAGTAGGCGTACAAGTGTGCTCTTATACGTTTATACAGCAGTTGTTTTGCAAGAAAGTTGGATTTCCAGGTTCCACCCTTAATTTTTTTCGAATTACTAAAAAAAGTAATTATGATGAACACACATACGTATGTACATTCTTTTTAATAACTCCCTGACCGTGTATCTGCAGAATTCTATCTTGCTCTAACAACCCGGACAGCTTCTGTTATGTTTGTAGAGAATTGATTTTCATAACTTATTTATTGAGCTATTTTGGATTTCCTGTGAGGAATCAAAATAAATCTTAGGTTCCACATAAATGCGGTGAACAAAAGGATCACTTAAGTCATTGTTACCTCAAACAAAAGGTATTACGACCAAGTCTAAACTTGTCTTCCGCCAAAAGATCCATTCAGTTTAGTGCTTGCCTAGACATGCCTGTGTCAAAACCATGTGAATGCGTCGATGAGAAAGGTCCGATTCTCGTGAGGAATTTGTCAAGATTGGGACCCGATATTTAGCGAGGGTATATTTGTAGGTCTCCAAATACGGCAATTGATAAAGGATAAGGCCTTTGATAGTAGAATTACCAGGAACAGCTTGCCTGGCAATGTTTAGTGAAAGTTGTCCAGAAGGCCATAAATCAGAAAATACTGAAGGATTAATAAGGAAACTTATGTATACATATAAAGCTTTGCAGTATAATCTGACATTAAAAATACACATGTACATATGCTGGACACGCATTCGTATTTCATACCGGTAAATTTAGGTGTTATGGCTTATCAGACAGTGGCATGCCAGAGCTCCTATGACTTTTTACATGTCCCTTCTTTTTAAGGAGTATATATCTCGTGCTCTCCTCTCATGCCATTTCGGCCAGATGGGTGTGGATTTTCTGCGAGTTGTAGTTTCTTTCCACCATGACGTGGCAGTTTTCATATATAAATTTTTATCGAGAAAAATTTGCATGATCGTACCTTGCCCAGCAAGTTCATCCGCCTTACAGTTTCTATCGATGTCCCTGTGACCAGAGAGAGAGAGAGAGAAAGAGAGAGAGAGAGAAAAAGAGAGAGAGAGAAAGTATGTTCTGTCTCCTGTGGAGATTGCATCTATGTATGAATACATATTGTTTAAGGAAATGCGCATTAATGTACATATTAACATCGCAATTTCTATTACGTCTACAAACAATAAACACTCCCCTGAGAAATGGCACGAGAATTAGCAGCGAATTCACTTATCAATAAAACGACCAGACAATTTTTTTAAATACATACATAAATACTCGTAAAAACCAATTGCGACACCCCCTTTTGTGCATGTGTTTGTAAATTAGCAAGTGTGAGTGGTTTACAATGTTCGTGTGGTCCAAAGAGCAAGAGGCGACTCATTATGAATCAGGGATCCCTAGTGGCTCTTTTGGCGCCACAATAATAAAATGATTGTACATAACCTGCATCTGTGGATTTTTAGTGAAATAAAGTAAGTAGTTTTGTTTGTAGTATTTCATTTTACGATTTGTTTGATTAAAATTTCTCAAAAAATTAGCGATAAGTTTGGGGTAAATTACCTCAGCCAGCCTGTCACCAATTCAGCTTGTCATTCTCATCCGATCGGTATAAATTTTGCTCGGTCTGTCTCTTCTCCTTCCAATTGTTAAAAAAAATCAAGTTATTCGCAGACTTATAGAAAAAGAAAGCTTAAAGGACTTAAGTGATTTTATTAAAATTCGAAATATTCGCACATATGCCCGTGAACATACATACAAATATTGATGGGAATGACCTGAAGGCAGCGCAGCAAAATATTTATTATTTTCAATTTAAATTATTACAATCAAATATTTTTAGAAGCATATATTGCTCGAATATCAGTGACACTTTCTAGAGGGTCAAATCAATTGGAGAAGATGGCCTATAAATTACCATTTGTGATTTGCTTTATTTATTTATGATAAAGAGTAAACTGCTATTCCATAACTGGTGAAGACGATTTATAGTGTATGAAAACATGTACAGATGTAAGGCAATTTCCAAATATTGGATTGTTTGTTTTTGTGTATTTTGAAAAAAAAAACTAAAAAATACGGTCTCCACGTTTTAAGTTTTTTCTTCTAATTTTCGTTTGTGTCTCGTTAATACGGCTTTCCCTCGGCACCCCAATAACCGTGTTCATAAACATATCCGGACTTATTTACTTCCCCATGCTCAAAGTGGTTCGTTTTCAACTACCACGCCAATCCATTTTTCCATAATTTTTATTTTTTATTCAAAATGAAAAATTTTTAAGAGAATTTACGAATAAGCTGTCTTATTTTCTATATTTCGGTTAAAACTGAGGCGGCTGTCAAGTCTCCATGAGTACAATAGAGTAATCCGCCAATAGTAAAATCCACCTCTGCATATCAGAGGGTACTCATGGAGCATCTACAGTAAATTAGATTGAAACTACTCAACAAAGAGTATTTTTTAGTTTCGAATACCATCAGCTTTTGTGAAACGATTAATTGTCACCTTATATAAATTTATATTCCACATACCCTGTGGGTTCGGATTGAAAGCACACAAATCATGCTCGGACCTTCACATACACAAAAAAATTTTTTGAATTTATTCCGAGTGCTCTGCTGTGAGCTAATTGAAAAGTAAAGTAATAAAGGTATCCACTGTTAATTTTTTTTAGAGATCTCATATTTTTAACGATTTCTTGAGAGTACCGCTAAAAACCCAAACATCGTTTAAACTCAAAGGGAAATTACGACGGCATCTGTTTGTAAATTGCCAATAAGATTTGTGGAAATGTGAGCGCTTCATTTCACTTTCAAAGGAAAAAAAGTGAGTGAAATTAAAAATACTGATCTAGTAAAAAGTAAACGAGTAATCCCCAACTCGCATTCTATAAATGCGATTAGATTGCCTTAGATGGCGAGGAAAGATGATATTTCGTACTAAAATAGATGATGGGAGACGTGTGTGTTGATCCTTTAACTTAGTCGTTTTATTCGATAAAGACGAAAACGTTAACCAGGCAGGTCCTGATACTCCAACAATTAATCATGCACAATTTTGGTTTGGTCGAATTCGTTCCGGCTCAGTTCGGAAACATTCAAAAAAAAGGATAAATACACAAAGAAGCTCGGGATATGGGTGTAACGTGAGTTTACGAGGAAAAAAATCGTTCCAATCGTTACAAGTGAATCACTTACAGCAACGTCAAATGAAAACGGTCGTGATCGAAAGACAGTGAGTCGACACAAACGATCTCCAAGCCAGTATTGACGGCCAGGAAGGTTCTATTGTGTGTTTTATGGGATTGGCAAGGTAACATTCACTCTTAGTTCGGACAACCAGAAACGCTAGTTTTGGCCAACAGGAGAGGATTTGTTTTACATCAGGGCAACTCCAGACCACACACATCGATAATGACTCTCCAGTAGTAAATTTTCTAATTGCCCCTCGGCAGGGAATCTCAACCCCTCCGAGTGTAATTCTGACATGAAAAAAAGCTCCACATATAAAAAAAACATCAACCGTTCGGAGGCGGCTTAGCATAAACTGTAGGTCTCTTCAAGACGCCCAAACAACAAATTAGAGGAGGAGCTCGACAGAAAGTCGCTTTAGCGGTTACAAAGCGCCAATTATATATATACAATATATATACATATATACTAAATATCATCTATGTACGAGTATGTATGTATCTGTCTCAGATATAAACGTTAAAACGTTAGATCAAAAGTTTACTTTTTCGCACCTATGTACATATGTATGTACAACAATATTTAGAATATTATGAATATTTGCAGCCTTACACACTGCTCGCGTGCGAGTTTGAATAGCAAAACAAAGACTCGTAACAAGATAAAAACTATGCAACACATATTTTTACGCAATTTTTACCGCTTTTATTATGTATGTATGTATGTATAGTATATATGTATAATTTTTATTACAATTATTTGTTAATTTTTTTGCCTGCTGCCTACTTTCTGATAAGGCATTCCGGTTTTTGAGGCCATTACTTTATCGTCGACCGCCGCAAGCCAGCTACATACATATGTACATGTCCACATATTATGTACAATACATATATATATTTTACAAAAATGTGCAAGTGAATGTATGTATTTACATATGTATATATGTACATAGCTGATCGACTAACTATTTGACAACGTAAACAGTCACTTTACTGGCTCGTGTTTCATCGTACCGGGCACGGGATATCGTGGGTTAATTGCATTATTTACAGAAAAAAAAAACACATGCAAATCCATGAAAATAAAGAATAATGAATTAATGATTGCACATACGTATGTATGTACATATTCTCCTTTTACAAAATGTATGAATGTGAATATGGATGATGATGAGTCCAT